CAAACCCGAGAGCCCCTAAAGGCCCAAGACTTCCAGACCCCCAAACCCCATGCAGAGCCCTCAAAACCCCGGGGGTTTCTATGCACATCGCTATATATCACGTAATCCGAAGCCGCTTTTCTCTCAATGGCTAAGGCGCCCCGAAATTAGGTGTCGATTCCAACAGCCCAGAAAATAGGGATCCTTATGACACAAGTAAGGAAATGTTGCAATTATCCCCAATCGATACCTAGTATATGATTACCCGCATAGCAACCGTTATAGGGAACCTTCTCTAGCTATGGAGGCCGCTTGTACTACAGGGGCCTAAACAATTACCAACACCGTTTTGGGGAGTTTCGTATTATACTTAGAGTAGAATGGGCCCATTGTTAAGGCCCTACATTAAGCCAAACTCGTCCGCCCGGAAACGTCGGCCAAACCCCAGATGTCGGAAGCAGAGTCCTCGGAAGCTTAACTTGGTTAAGCTTTGGGATAAAATGAGGGGTCATAAAGGGGTTGTGTTTTCTTCCTCCTGAGCTTCTACAAATTCACGAAGGTGCAATCAAGGTGTTGTGAGAAACGCGCTCATTATTCCTGCTCGTTGTCCTTGTACTCATGCAGTCGTCAGCCATGCTACGAAAATTAAACAAGGCAGCAGTCTGTCTGCTTCCTGTGCACATCAACGGGAAGGGCGGAGCTGAACTATGCAAGGCTCAGCCCAGGGTATGCACACTCATAAAGGCATAATAGAGGGCCTGTCCTAATCAGAACAGAGTGTTTGGGGTGTATTATAGTATAACTATATGAAGGAGCTCTTAGGGACAACAGTGGCAATCCTTCAAGCCCCTACATTAACTGGCAATTAGTCGTTGATTTTCCAAGCTTCTACATTATGCAACTCATTGTAAACCTGAAGCTCCTCCACCAGAGACCCAAAGCAACGGCCCCCATTTGCCAATGAACCACACATTTATCGGACCTCAATAATCCGGATAATCCCCGAAAGCCCGAAGCTCCACTCAGACCGTGTCTTTATCGGAACGGATACATACACAGCGAATATCCGCTGCATGAAGCAGACATGCCCATCTCTTAGTAGCTGGGAGAAAGTCTTTTCTTGCGCCAAAATGCCTCGGCCGCGGCGCTCTCCCCGGGAGGCGGCTCGGGGAGTGAGGGCCGGGAGGTCAACAGCACCTGCGCTGCTCAAACTGTCTGGTGCTTAGTAGGGAATGGGGGAATGGATCCCTATAGTAGTTTCTATGTATTGCCCCACAATAGTCTGCACGCTCGAATTCTCTCAAGGGCTTAACAGAGCAGATTTCAGTAACTTGTGACTATGACTGTATCGGGCTCATAGGGGAACAGTGCGACTTAGTTAAAGGAGCCCGAGCATCACTAGAGCAACCCCAAAGCCCCAATGTAAGGGCCTTAATAAGAAGAAGAATAATAATAGTAAGGTTTTGGTGGCTCCTTAACGTAATTATGGTATAATATACCCCAAATCCTAGTCTAATTCTTATAAGGCCCCTGTATGCCCTACCGTCAGCGGCTTCCAGGGCGCTGATTTGGCCATGCCAGGCTGACTCAACCAGCGTTTGGTCCAGCGTGCAAGTGCAGCCGCACAGGGACCTGAAGCACAGCCCCATGAAGCAATCAAAACGAGGTCTCCGAATCTGCAAGGACTCCGTGTGCCAGAGTTGCTACTCTGCGACTCTGGCAGAATTACACTTTCACTGTCAATAGGAGCACCTAATTGTCAACTTCAACAGGCAGCTGGATGTGAAGCGCGGGTCTACTTTGAGATCTCAGATCAGATCAAGCAACCAAGCGGGAAAACACACACTCACGTGATAAGCATGCAAATCACACAAGTTCCCCAAGCATCAACTGGCTTCTTTTATGTACATGCAAGAGCGTTCAACATGAGTAAATGGACAAAACCGAGTACGCAGTCTGCCCTCTCGATTGCCCACAAGCGGTGTTGAATTTAGCGGGCTAGCATGCGCAGGAAAAGCAGTGTAGCTGCAAAACCTCAACCACACGCCCAAACGATTGCGGTGTTGACCAGTGGGCACCGAAACACCATACCTGAAGTTGCACTAAACCTGCTCAACGGAAATGCTGTAAGACTGGCATGCACCACAAAATTGAAAATTGCGTAAAACGAAAGTGGCGCACTCCACCAATGTCGACAAAAGTCAAAGCGAATTCGAGCGATCGTATCAGTTTGAGGCCAGATGTGTGCTGTGGTGCAAACCTGAACTGTGCTGCGTGGGGGTGTGGGGGGCGATGGCTTAATCTATTTGTTAAGTTTTGGTTGGTGTAGGTCCTTGCTGTTTCGGTTTTTTTGCCTTTTCGACACTTCTATCCCAAGTCCTCCCGACTCTCGAGTCGCCAGGTGCTCGAGCATTGCAATCCCATGCATAATTCTGAAACATACTCCGCGAGTCGTCTGTTGAAGCCCTAAAGCGCAACTCCCTCGAGCCCTGTTGAACGAGGTTTCTCTGAAACCAGAAGCCCCGTAATCCCCCCCAAACCCGCCTTGCCTGCGCGCTCCAGGCCCTCAAGAAGCAGCGCCACACCAGCGAAGCGAGGGCCGAGCTCCTCCACTTTCGCACTTTTCTGGTGCCGATAAGAATAACGGCAGCAGTAGCACGCGTAGTAGTAATAATAGTAGTAGTAGTAGTAATCGTAGTCATCGTAGTCATCGTAGTAGTAGTAGTAGTAGTAGTAGTAGTAGTAGTAGTAGTAGTAGTAGTAGTAGTAGTAGCATAAGTATAGTAGTAGTAGTAGTAGTAGTAGTAGTAGTAGTAGTAGTAGTAGTAGTAGTAGTAGTAGTAGTAGTAGTAGTAGTAGTAGTAGTAGGAGTGGGAGTGTGAAACTCCACCACCTCCTTCTGTGCCCTACGGATCCTACGGTAACACGAACCAACAGATGTCGGGTTCGGTGTACTGCAGCAGGTGTCTCACGAAAACAAGCGTGCTTGCAGCGAGCGAGCCGCAGGCTGCTTCCACACGATCCCACGACTAACACATCCCCACAAATCCCTGCCAGTAGCTGTCAAGGCGACGCCCGCTGCCTCTGCTATAATCGAAGTAACTTTCCCTAATTCAAGGCCTCTGAAGGCACCACCTCTGCTGGTTTGCGTTTCTGTCCACGCGGGGTGTCTGCCTCGGAACGTGTTCTGGTTTGCAATGCAACGCGAAACGAAAAGGGACTAGTCGATGCAAGTCTCTGTCACCGGAATGATAGTGCCACAAGCGCTCTAGTTTGCGGATCGGAATGCTTAGTTAGACAAGCCTGGGAGCTGCAGGCGGTTGCCTGAATGCCACCGTAGCGGGCAGAGCTTCATCCAGCACACCTGTCGTTTGACAATAAATCTTTTCGCCATCCACCGTGAGCAGAACAGCAGCGTTGAGGCAGATGCTTTTTGTACGTGGGTTTCTCTCGTACGGACTTGAAAAACAGACTTGAAAAAAAACCTTCGGCGCAGCCTGGATTTGCCTCGTCTACGGCTTGGATAGCGGCTTCCAGAACGTAGGCAGGGCCCATCCTGAACGGCTCAATGGCGAAAACGCTGATGCCGGGCCCGGTCGCACCGCAGCCGAGAGAGCGAGAGAGAGAGACAGAGACAGAGACAGAGACAGAGAGAGAGATAGAGAGAGAGAGATAGAGAGAGATAGAGAGCGGCACACGATGAGAAAGCGCGAAAGCAAGTAATGTCAGACGGGCAAATAGGTAGATACATACCAGTACATACATACAAACAGTCAGTGTTGATGCGAAAGCTGTAGCGACTGCTCCCAAGCCCACCCAAAATCCACTGCAAGGAAAAATCGTTACGAATCTACTCGAAGTTAAACTTGGCAAATGGATTTCGTGCCGAAGACCCACAAACCGTTCTCGGTTCAAGCAGAGGGAATCCCAACTGCTGATTAACAACAAACATCGAGCTGAGCTACAATAGGCATGCTGCATGCAAACTCATTGAAACAGAACACTGTGCCCCGACTTGCTCTCGATCTACTGGCGAGTGTCTCAGCAACATCCTTCCGCCGCATAGTTTTGTCTGCAGTAGCACGGTAGGCCTGTGCAGGACGACTGAGAGCTAAGCTTCCGTTGCTGCAGATAAACTCCTCGCCTTGTTTCCGCGAATTCCTGCAAGAATTCCCAGGGTCGGCTTCAAAGCCAGGTGGATCGACCCCACGGAAGTGCCATCCGTATGTGCATCCTGCAAATACCTCGGGTGGCTTGCCATGCAAGGGACTCTTGCAAACTTTACCATCCCATTTGCTCTGGGCAGCTGCGCACTTGGGGTTAATATTGGGTCCGAATCCGAAACACATTCGCATGTACTGGTAAGCAATGCAATGAGAGCGTCCAACTTGCCAGCAGCTGAGACACTGACCCATGGATATATGCAGAAAGATTGCTGCCCACTTTGCAGCATGTCGCAGCACAATTCCGTGCCCTAATGCTCGGAGTCTCTGTGACAAAGTTGCTCTTTGTAGCCCTCGAGAAGTTCACGGCGTGTCATCGGCTTCCGCTTCTCTTCACCATACAGGCCTCAATCGAGGGTAGTGGGGGCAAGTGAGTTGAAAGACCACGATTAACCTCTGCACTATCAGCAGGTCAGTCAGTTGTCGTTTGAGCACACCGAGCAGTTGCAGTCGCTTGGTGCTACTCCAAGGAACTGTGATCCACATCCCACAGCATGCCTCGGAAAACTCGAAGAGTTGAGAGCACTCAATGGAGACAGTGCCGGTGTAACCAGCATGTCGCTTATGTTAAACTTATACGGCGCAGCGACTCAACTTGAGAAAGTAACCTCAGCTTAGACGCAGGGAGAGTTCATAGCGCCCCGGCCGATCATGACACCCTCAAGGTTCGGCGGCAGAGCTGGGCACGGCTCCGCAGACCCACAGAAGACGTCCTCTCCGAACAGGTTTACTGGCGCATGCAGTACAGTACGTGGATCGTGGTGCCTGAACCCTCACGCTTCGTGGCGATTGTCTATCCGTGAAGAGCGCTATGCATACTCTGTTCAGCTCAGCTCGGAGCGTCCGAAACACAGGAGCTACTATCACCCACACTGATCCATCCGAGGGGCCGAACCCGGCCAGCCCCAAGCTGTGGAGTAAAGCTCTTCGGTTTCCTGAGTTTTCGCGGGGCAAATGGAAGGCTGCCAATCCCAAACCATGCTTTCGCTAGTTTGGCTCCTTGAGACTCTATCTGGGTCTATCTGCTCCACCTGTACCAAAGGCCTATCAGCTGGAAGCCCAGTCTCGCCATCCAAACGCTGATGCGGGAAACCCAGAAGTGCCTTCGACACTGGCGTGCTGCATGCTGCGGGAAGCTGCGACACTGCACGCCGGACTGAGACCGCTCTACAAATACAGTCATGGTTGCGACCGTTGGCAAAACTTAGGGGCCTCAAGTCCCGGCACGATGTCCCTTAAGCATTCTGAGACCAGCGTTCTCTTGCAGAAAATGACACGCACACAGCCGCACACAGACAGACAGACACAAACACACACACACACACACACACACTTGCAGTAGACCTCTTGTTCTATATGTGAGTCGGGAATGTGGCTATGTTCTCCCGTTCTTGTCCTCTTTTTTTCGTTATCTATGTCTAGATTTACCGATCTGCTGCTTTTCGACTGTCTAGACTTACCGGTCTCCAGGCTCATCCAACAACAGCAAGTATGTGACTGCATCAGTGACATGTCGAGATTGTCATGAAGCAAACAGTATGCAGATCTGATGATGGCACTCTTAGTTGAAACTGCAAGCTGCGACATCAGTCACCCATGCCAGTTTCTTGCAGGTACAGGAATGTACATCTACATTCCTTCCCACCCGTGCTCTATATCTTCGTTGGCATGGCTAAGAGCACAAGCGCCATGCCGCCTGCACCGTTAAATAGCCTTTTGTTACAGGGATGACACACACACACACACACTCACACTCGGCAAAAGAGGCACTCTCGCATGGCCCACATCAGTGATCCCGCCGTTGATGCTGAACTTGAGATCTGGAAACCTTTCAGCGATCGCATGGGAACCAGCAGTCTCACTACCGTTTGGCCACTAATGGGTGGCTGCCACGACACAGGGTCTTTTCAATCCACAGAGTGACCGAGGCATGCTATGGCATGCTACTTATACTACAGTATGCAAACGGGAACTCTTGCAACCACACAAGAAGATCATGCCGCTGCATGCCGCGATTCCAGAAGGCAAACTTGAATTTGGATTGCACGAGTGGCTGATGGCAAAGGTCGAGGATTCTTGGATAGTGCAGCGGCGGAATCGTTCGGTTCTGCGCAGGTGACAGCCCATTGAGCCAGGCCTGCACAGCTGTACTGTCCGGGATTCCCTGCTATCAGCTGGACTTTGTACGAGAGTGTGTGTCCCAGGCCTTCCGCGCATGGATAATGAAATGTTTGCAGCCGCCCTGGGCAACGGTTCTCACGAAGTCGCGAGTGAACTCGGGCGAGTCAAACTCATCTGCACCCAAACCTAGGATTGCGCTGGGCATGTCATGCAGTCATGCACCGTTACGGCTTTCATTGCCGTCAAAAGCGGGCAACTAAGTGACGTGCGTGCACTCAATGGTTCGGTGGCTTCGAAACACCATCCCAGGTCTCTGATGGACCAATTGGGCATGCGCAGGAGCGGCGCAAACGGTGTAACCAGGTGGCGGCACTTGACGGTTACCGGAATCTGCACCGCGCGACTCATCGCCCGGATGGCCTGCTGGTTTCATGGTCGGGATGGCTACACAATCAGATTTGTCAAACACAGTCCACGCTGCGGCGTGGGTGGATCGAGCTTGAGCAGCATAGGGCCATAGAGCTTCATCAGGGATACTTCAGCAGACCGAGTCACTTCTCGAACGACATCCTTCTTCTTCATCAGGGAGCAGCCGAACTCGCCTGTACGTTGGCTTGCCAGCATCGCGATGCAGCACTCTCTTAAGCCGGATTCCTGATTGGCGATACTGTTTCCTGTTAGCAAAGCTTGCAACCGAGCCTGCGTTTCAATCGGTGCATTGAAGCATGATGAGACGCTGCCACGGCAGGTGTAGAAACTGTTTGCCATAGAGTGTACCAAGCAAAGTGTACCGCCAGCTAGATATGGCAGTTCTTCAGCCACGTGAGGCCGTGGCCTTTGCCAGCTACGCGGCTGGAGGGGCATCCACAGTTGAGGTTGACCTCATCGTAGCCATACCTCGCATCGCGGGCACTGCTGGACTAAATGCCCTGCCAACTGCAGTCGACTGCCGAATTCCACCAGCCAGCACGCAAGACTGTCTGAATGTATCCTAAGCACGAGTCAATATGATCACGGTATATCTCCGAAAGTTGGGGTAGAAATCTGATGCCGAGCTATGGTTGGGACCTGTGACGGTAAGTTGAACCCTTCAGAAAGCACGTCAGAGTGACAGTGCACCAGTCGCAGTCTCACGGATCTTCGCACTGGACAACTACGTGCACCCACAGCTTGTCAGCACATAGCGTGGTAGTTTGCATGATGGCAAAGAGCCCCCGGGGCTTCCCGACCTACCAAACTCAAAAAGCTGCGCTACGTGTCACCACACCACGAGATGCCTCTGCACGATCTCTGCTGCCTGAGCAAGTTTGCTTGGGTCGCTGCCTCCTGCTGCACGGAGGTGCTTCACTGTGACACGCCACTGCAAGATGATGCACAAAGTTAGACTTCTGAAAGCACCACGAACCAGCAGTCAGGGATTCGTCAGCGAGGAGTTCCGAGTACTCAGTATAAGAAATTCACCAAACTTGGCAGCTTTGCTTCAAAGGACAACAGCTATGCCATGCAGCACGGTGAGACAGGAAAAACCTAAAGCTACACTATAGTATGGGGCAGTTCAATTCGATCTGTTGTCAGCCGCAATGCAATCGTCTCGCACATGCGACCTTTCGGCGCAGTGCCTGTCCACCAAAGCCAACCACACAACAACCATCACGGCCGGTCCTAGCTGGCAGACGATGGGGTGCTCAGCCTCGCGGAGACGGTGGGCTTGAGGGTGGGATCCGCACAGACCCCCATCCGAGCCCGAGCCTCGTTGTACCTCAAAAAGCGATCGCACTTCTCGGTCTCGGTGTTGTGCAGAATTGTGTCGTCCACGACCATCTCTGTCCAGAGCTGGGCCTTTGCTGTCAAAGCTGAGGCCAAGCAGCAGGCATGACTACCACTGTCGCGGAACTAGCTGGAAGTTCAGCTATTGTAGACAGCATTCTTCTGGACGAACACTGAGTGAGCTTTGAGAGCGGAAGTCGATGCCACAAGACCAAGCAGGGCGGACATGGCGGCACATGCCCGTTGCACGCCTTCTTGCCAGTCCGAGGGGCGCGTCGTGACAGCAGGCGCATAAAGTAGCGGAAGTCCTTGTAGGTTACCTCCATCATCGGAGCTATTTGGAGAAGGTGCCTGCCCAGAGCAGTAGGATTTGCACCGATGTGCAACCGAACCGACAAAATGCGAAAGCGTGCACGAACACACAAGCTTTCGCGCATGCCAAATTCAAATTCAAAACCATGACGATGCATGGGCGCACGATTGTATATGTACATGTGTGTATATATATATATACACATGTATACATGTACATATACACATACGTACATCTGAATGAATACACATGTATATGTATAGATGTGAATGTATACACATACATATGTGCATGTATGTATATATCTATATAAATTAAACATGTGTATGTATGTATGTTTGTTTGCTTGTTTGTATGTTATGAACGTGTGAACGTGTGTGTGCGCAAAAAGTCACCCAAAGGCAGGTACATGCATGAGTGCTTTCAGAGATGGATGTATGATGTAGCTGGCATCATGTCATAAGCATTATTTGTCCTCTGTGGTGTGATCAGCCTTGATGTCGTCGTTGCTGGTGTAGGCACACGCTCTTACAAATGACGCCGTTGTGTGTATGTTTCGACATCAACTCCTAACCGGTAGGCTATTCAGTACTAAGCGAATCAGCAATCCAGGAAATCCGAACAGGTTTCGATCTGAGCAATGACGGCAAAAAACGCATCAGGAGCAAGTACAGCAGTGCGTTCAAAGTTCAAAACCTATGGATGTTCCTGTTGAGCCGTCTTTTGTGAACGGTACACATGCACGAACAAACACACACGCATACATAACACATATACATACACATAGATGGTTGCTTATCTATTTGATTGGACTAAGTTTAGATAATTTATAGATAGTACATATATTTATATTAAATATGTATATGGATATAATATCTTCTCATACACATACAGAGAGAGTGTGTAACATGCATTCAGACATGGTCGTCTTAACTTCATCATGCCCCACATTGGTGCTTCGTTCTATCGCACCGTACTTTCCTCTCTGCCATTAACTGTTCCTCACATACATGTATTGTCCGGCACGTGGACATATCGATATATCTGTGTATGTATACACATAGGGTCCGTCTATGTGCGTTATCAAGGAATATACATGACGACACCCCCCCCCCCCCCCCCCCCCCCCAACCCCCCCACCCCCCCCCCACCCTGTCCCCCTTCGGCAATCTGCTCTGGTTTCAGTCTGTCCCCTCAACACAATTGGTCCAGACTACTTGTTCCAAACTTGAACTGATCAACACGTGGAGGTTTGTGGAAGCAGGCGGCAGGGCCAACAGACTTCAAAGGGTGTCGCGCAAGTGTCAAACTGCCAACCTCTCCAGCTGCTTGACTCTCCACTCCAAGATAGATTTACTAGGGACTGTTTGGAATGCTTCAACATGAAGTGAGGTGTCCAGTGTTGCTGGCATGGAACCAACTCTAGGCAAGCACTTTTCAAAACCCCTGCCGTGTCCTGCTTGCTCGGACAAAGCCCCTGCGCACTCTGATTGTTGCTTCTGACATGTTTATTTTTTGTTCGTACACGCAAAGAAGCATGCGCCATCACATATGCTGCCCCCTGTGCACACATCCACACTAACACGGAAGCAGCTTGTACTGGACACCTGCCCAAACAACAGGTCAGGGGGCAAAGGTGCACATATACATATATATATATATGTACATGTGGGTCTGTTCATTCATCCATCCATGCAAATTCCTCTACCTACCTATCTGTGTGTCTGTTTGCCACTCTATCTGCCAGGATGTTTTGAAGGTGCAAAACGGCTTTAATCCAAGCAGTTGCTGCAACTGTGAAGCCTAAGTCTTAGGGTTTTCCTTGTGTGTGTGTGGGGGTATCTTTGCGCATACACATACAGAAATGTCCATACATACACATGGTTATTTACCCACCATGTAGGTTTTCATGGGCCTCCCTGAATATGTATTGGTATAGCCATGTTGGAGCTCGCTGACGGGATGTATACTGTTGACTTGGAGGATGAGCAACTTAGTTTACACGAGTTTATTCGCAGTACTTGGCTTACCTGTGGCACTAGGTCACTAAACGTCCTAGGCTAAGCTTAGGGCTTCGGGTTGCATACACCACGTTTTCATGTTGTTTCATTGCGTACTGCACACGACGGGTGCTTGTGTACTTTGTATGATCTTAGGTATGCGAGCTATGAGAATGCCGATAATTTCTATTCACACCTGTTGTACATAGATGTGGGTATGTAATATGTACATCTGCATTGCTGCGGCAGGATCAAACAACATGAGAAAAACACATGTGGAGTTGTATGGGCTGCAAAGGTTCAATATGGCTAGGCTTAGTGGGCTGTAGTAGGAGTGGGGGATGATACGGCACTAGCTTCCAAAGCGTAAAGTTTTCACGGGAGGGCAGCATGCGGAAAGCTTTCTTTCGCACGAACTTCCTCATCTCCGCCGCCTTCCCTCGAACCTGCGCTCCGCCCCTGCCATCTCGGGCATCGGATGAGGCGGCGCGTCTTACAAGTTCTTGTGCCAGTGAAGGCTTCACGAGACACTCGTATCATCCGTGGAATTGCACTACTTCTGCACCGCCTCAGTTCTTTGGGCTTGGACGTGGGTGTCGCAGTGTTGCTGCAGTCTGACCGGCTGTGCAGTCTGCGTGTCCACTGGAGCCGGCCAAAAGGCAGAGCTGCAATGAGCTGCTTGCTGCTGAGCTTTACATTTGCATGGCCCAGTTGCCGAACAGAAGCGACATCTTCCGTTCATGTTGTCTACATGAGGGTCAAAGCGAGGCCATCTAGAGCTATCCCAAACCACGAGAGAGGGCAAAGTGCTCTCTACCGTCACGGTCAGTGCGACTGTCGGTGTCCGAGCTACGCTGTTGCTGTTTTCGTTGCGAGCACCATGCTAATGTCATAGTTAGTGTAGTCTTCTTTGCTCCTACTGCCGCTCAGGCTTGTGGTTGTGAAGCGTCCACAATTGTCATTGTTGATGCCGCTATCGACCCCAGCATCCCCAGCGTCCTCAAAACTCAAAGGAATCCTGGGAACCGTACAAGTCCCCCATGCCCACCGCCCTTACCGTGATTTTTCCCTCTCTCATGGCAGGAGACAATGTCCACAGGCGAGGTCAATCTTTACCCTTACCGTGATAGAATCAATGGTTCCCGACTGCATCCGCTAAATTGCTGAAGCAAAGATAGACTCAATCCATCTCAAGCCTAGCTCCACTTTCGTGTCTTCTAGTCTAACCGGCAGCGCTTCAAAGCTGGGTACAACACCCACACGCTTGCTCACCCAAGCATGCTGAAGCATGCCCAAGTGCAGGGCCAGTTGGAGCAGGTCCAAGGCGAGTCCGGCCGGCGCAGTCCCTGACAAGCTTCCGGCCCTTCCGGCAAGCCTAAAGCCTTTGTTTTCCCACTGCTACAAATTATGCTCGAGAGCGAAACATCGAACGCGAACTTCGTGCCGTGCTGGGCCTGCAGCCTGGGCCTGGGCGACGGAATCTGGAGAAACCTGGGCGATTGGAGGGTCCCGGGGGCTTTTGCGTGTCTTCATGGAAAAGAGGTGAAGTGCTGATTCTATTTGGCTGGGGTCCGAGAATGGAGCACTCACTCAAGTTTGACTTCTTTTGAAGCGTTCAGTTCACATCAGCTTCGTCTTCGCTGCGTGCTGTCAGCTTGCTTGGCTCCTAGCATCAGACGCTAAGTCACTAGATTTCTGAAGCACGGTGGTGGAACTCTGCAGTCAAAATGAGTCAACCTTGCGGATGGACGGAGCTAGCACTCTGCAGACGCTGTTCCGAAGACTGCTGTGATGCTGTGTAACTTGTCTAGACTAGACTTCAGTGACAGACAGCGTAAGGCAGTCTTTTCTCAACTGGATTGCTGAAAACGATGGAAAGCACGAGGCCTGCTGGAAAGCTTGGTTATGTCGTTTTGGCACAACCAAGCTGACTAGTCTGGACACGTCCACTATGCAACACGCCTCATCCCTTAATGGATGAGTTGGACTCGGTGTGGAAAATCAGACCAGCCGTCATCACGAGGACTGAATCTGCAGTAGCGGAATTGCCTACATAACAGCGGGCATTTGCGAGCCCAAGAAATCATCGAGCGATTCCTTGGATGCATGTCACTGTCAAAGAGGAACAAGCCGATTGAATTGCGCAAAGGACAACTGTTGCAGTAGTTCTGCGGGCAAAGCAACAATCTGCATGTCGTCGAGAGGCGGCAATTCCTTCCGTCGCAGGTTGGAGGCGTTGCTAGTGAATTGTCAACATTCGCAGCCCCGTATAAGCCGCAAGCCCTCAGCTTTAATGCACTTCAGTTGAAATAGCCTTAGCACGAACGTCTGCCCGGAGCTACGGTTCTCGCGACCCAGGACACTATTGGGAGCCGTCTTCCTGAGATCTCTTGCTTGCTCAGCTTGCTCTTCTTCTGCTCAATTGCTCGCTCCCTATGCTCCCTTTCGTTCACCTTCCCCTGTCGGGGGCTCATCCCGTCAGCGGCGTCCTTTTGCCAACGACGGTGAAAGTATTGTTATTGCGGCGGAGCGTGATATGCATGTATAGGCCTTTGTCCGCGGACCCTGAATACCCGCGTTGCTTCCTGGGACCGTTCCGAAACTGGGCGGATCGGGGGTGCACATTCGAAACCACTCGCAAAGCGCGAAACGTCGCAAACCTTCCGGCGATTCCCGGTGCTATTTCATAAGAGCGGCTCCACATCCCGCTCTCAGAAAATCCTGACAACAAAGCGTGATTTTCGGGTGAGAGTGGGGGCCCTCAGGAAGAAGAAACGAGGCTCCAATGATGCTCGTGATGCCACAGGAGGTTCTTGCCAATTCCGGAACGGCCAACGAAACACTTCACATCCCAAATGTTCGCCTTCGGAGGTCTGAGGCCATGCAAGGAAAGCGCGTTGCGCGTCGAGTCGCGCCATGCCACCGCCATTCCTTTGACGGGGACAGTCTGCGGGCGCGGGGCGCGCTCGCCATCCGAGGTGTGCTTGGGCACCCAGCCGCATACGGCATTGCCCGGCCTTGGCGCAGCCCCACAAGTAGAAGGGGAGGGGATGTTTAAGCTAAAACTCTGGGCAACATCGAAAGCACACAGCAGTCGCATCCAATTGCCCTGCCACCGCTTCTGTTGTTCCATGGGCACAGTTGCAATCTTTTGCTTCTTTTTCACTCTTTGTATATCTTTCCTCTACTGTATGAGTCATAGACCTTGCACTCTGCTGCTCCGGTGCGCGGCACACCATTCTGGAGAGAGCTTTCGATACAAAACGGTGAGCTGGAAACAAGTTACCCCCGTATCAATCGTGGCTCGGCTTCGGACTGTTTTCTGAATCTCCTGACCTGTTGATGTCGGGACGCTATCTTGTGCAAAAGTGCATACACATCCCTCATAAAGGGCAAAAACGTCAGACCGTAACCAGCAAGAGCAGCCATTCGCTACTGAAGACTTTTGCGCTTACCTGCTGCCGCCCATGCAAAGAAACGAGGCCGCCTGCAAAAAAAAGGGGGCAGGCCTTATCGTCGCTTGAGTGTGGGAGCTGCTTCCTTTGATAAGAACGGGAACTAGTACTGCCGTCGCGGATCGCGAAAAGATTCAACCCAGTGCGGACGCCTGCTTGGGCATTCGGCGGAAGACCAGCTCCTCAGAGTTGCGATGCATGAGTTCTGAGGGTCATCTTAAGCAAGATGTTTGGAGACATGTGAAGATGGGCCTGCAGCTCAGTCAGGGAACATGCTGTAGCAACGTGCCTTCTGTTGTTGAAGAGTGAGCCGAAGCCTAACGACAACGAGGAGCGTGGAGAGGTCGTCTGTCAAGCGCATCGGGAATGTCCTGCTTGCGTAAACCGTCCTTCCGGGTAGCGAACGATTCGGACGGCCTGACCGGCTGACTAACAAACTTGAGTTCGATCTTTCATTCTATGCCAGCTGCAGATGCTGCCCCAGCACTGGGTACAAACATGCATTTACAGGATATGCGCCCAAACCCTGACCCAGTCCACTTCGACGAGGAGGTCATTGATACAAACCTGGAAACACAAGCAAACCGTCGTTAAGCGCAACACTGCGGTGCACGTACAAACTTGGACCGCTACAGCGGCTTGCCCCACTTGCACGAATACCTATTTCCCCACTTTGCCCTCCGTTGCCCTGTGTATTATGCAGCTTCCGAGAGCAAGTGCACAAATTGTGTTCCACAGTCGCACGCTCTTGTCGCACAAGGGACGGGCGCGGAAACAGGAGGCCAGGGCAAAGAAGAGACGGAGGGGGTGGGGTTGGGCAACCGGGCCACTGACGTCTTACGGACTGAAGAAGGTCAAGTTGGGCAAGCCATCCATTTCGCATTGTGTTCGGGAATATGAGTAAAACTTGACTCGTGGCTGTGCAGACGATCGTTTAGGCAAGTGAGCAACTGCAGCTAGTTTGGCTCTGTTCACCATGGCTAGCACGTGACCAGCTGTGCTGCGATCCACGTCAGTTGGCCTTACGCTGCTCTGTCGCCGTTTCGTTCCAGCGCTCGAGCGGGCCTTGCTGCGGGAGGATTACTTTGGGTCCTGTCCCATGCTAGCAAATGGGGATGTCCATGTCCTGCCTCCTTCCTCTAAGGCTAGAAGCACCAGCCCATCTTCCTGATGCGGGATACCCAATAACATCGTGCGGGCAATGACATTGACATTGCTGGCAACTGCCAGGACACAAAATGAGAGTGCAAGTCTACATTCCCATGAATGTAAACAGCGCAATAGAGAGCAACTTGAGACATGATAGGGTCAAAGCTTCAGGCCTGCAGGCTCCTTGAAACACAAGCATGCAGTTATCAAGTTTGGTGAGCACGTGCTTCGTTATACACTGCAGTACACATGACGTCTCGTTGTTAGTGTGCTTTGGATCGCCCCGCGTCCGCGTCCACAAAGTCGCAGCCAATCGGTTCCTCCGTCTCTAGGCCTCTTGCGCGAGTCTGGGAAGTGAATGAGCGGGCGTTGGAGTAACTGCTATTATGGAATAAAAGACTGACCATCTCGTAGCTCTCCAGCCGTATACATCGGGTAGCTCACACGCTGTGCCAGGCTCTGCATAACTCTTGGCTACAGCCCTGGCGCTTCCTGAGGCCGATGCCCAGCTCCACAACATACTCCTCGCGGGCTGCCGCTTGGCAATGCGAAGGCACCAAAGTCTACAGCCACTGACCAAGAATGGGCTCGCCGCTGTTTCAGTGTCGGTAGCTCTTACGAGTGATCTTCGTGAACTCTCTATTCGGTCCTCTGTGCCGCACTGGGGCAGCTCCGCCAGTGGGATGGCGACCGTGGAGAGCACCAAAGGCCAGTAGGGGTGCAAATATCGGTTCAGCCTGTCTTGGATGGTATTCAAGACAAGCTTGCCGGCTCTACGACTTTGCTGTTATAGTAGCGCGAGCTTGCATCCGAAGAAATTCAGAGCGCTTAGCGTAGAGGGGCCAAAGGGGCATGCAGACACCAGCTGGATGGGAGATAAGCTTCAGAATCCTTTGTTGAACCTCACAAAAACATGGAAACAGGGAACGGCTCCAGCAGCGAGGCAATGTTTGCCTGAGCTCAGCGAAAGCTTGGCATGCAAAGCAGCTGTGTCGCAACTTGTGACTGCCTCAAGTCCTGCAGAGACGACGTGACGACCCTTTACCTCTTTCGTTCTCAGTTCATGCCGGATGCCTGCGCTGCTTGCATGCTCCATGCCACTATTCTCATATTTAGAAGAGTATACCGATCACACTGGAGTCAGCTATCCCTCTCCAGAATATGTCCTTACAAGCTCCCCCGAAGCAGACCTCCAGTTTCACATCCGTCAAGACTTCCTTCCCAACTTTCCCTATTGACTATTGCCTGCGCATGCAACGTTTGCATCGAGCGGCGTTCACTGCGGCCGCAAGGCTTTGAACTACATAGTCTCGTACGGCGTCTTGGAAAAGATAGCCTCGAGCTACTAGGAAGCTTGTACATGGCAAAGGTCGGGGTCGGTGACTACCGCGCGATTGCAAACTGGCATGTGCAGATGGTTATGACAGGAACACTAGACGAGAGCTCACCCGAAACACTCCTTGAGGTGCAAACGGACATCCCAGTTTCAACTGCCGGACAGCCGAGCGTGTTGTACAGCCAGCTAAATGACGAGTCTTGAAAGCGAAGGTCCAGCTTGTCGATAACCTCAGTCAAGCCAGGACTGTTTCGAGAGGCCGGAGTATGGAATTTGAGATTGTGCACGGCGAAGGATGTTGAGGCTGGCACGACCCGACTGAATGCAAGTGCAAGACGTGGCACCAGAGCACCATTCACCTTCGCATAACCGAACTGTTCGCATCCAAACTTCCCGCTCGGACGACGAACCTGTTTTGGAACTCTGGAACTTCAATATTTCGACAATTCCTCCAGGCCTTGGCGGAGCGGAGTTCGAACCTTTGCAGACTGTGGGTCCATGACATCGCAACACTTCCCGGATCCGTCAGCACGGTGTTGAAGCTCAAGAAGCTCAGACCCTACAGACCGTAACCGACAGATGTGATCGAACATTCGCATGACTGTCTTCACCACCCACCAAACTGCCGACATGCTACGCCAGGATCACTTGAGCGCCGTGTGCTGTAGTTGCTGCCGCACCATGGCCATTAAAGTATGGAAATTTCTTCTGCGCATACCTTGCCAGAGGGAGTCACGCATGACATGCTTGTTTCAGCTTGTTCCTTCTACCACACAGACAGACAAAGAGGCACACGAATCCCCGCACCCCTCGCACGCAAGCGCACCCTGGTCTCAAAGACTAAATCGCCCCTGAGATCGCTCTGCAAACAAACCCATACGGTGGACATGACAATCTCGAGCAGCTGAGGCCACTGCTTCCACTTCATCTCCTCGTGCGATGGGCATGTGCAGGACAAGCCGAAAAAAACCCTTTTCACAATGCAAGCGAGCGGCCGGAATATGAACCTGTGACGAAATTGACAATGCACCACTCTCTGAATCTCGCGAACTTCCTTGCAAGCCTTCATGTCCCACGCCGTCACGCGGAGAATTTCACCCGTGCTCATCAAGGAAGGGGCGCTCTCTCCTGGTGTCCAAGAACTAAGATTTTGTCTGAACAACTGGTCACATCTGGCCTCTGACTGCCACCTTTTCGAGATGAGGCATTTCACTGACAGCAAGCCGAATGAGTTTGAACCCTGAAACTTACACTAAGTCAAAGTTTCAGAGCAGCAATGAGCAGCACATATGCGACACAGCGATGTGGCAAAGGGCACACATTGCTTGCACGTTGTCTGAAACTCCGGCCAGTGGCCAATCCTGGACCGCTGACTGCTTCACAGACGCGCAAGTTCATCTCTGCGCGTCCTTCTGCCGGATTCAGGGTGCCACTTTGTGCATCTCCTGACCCTTCCTGAGCAGGGACGTTCTCGATGGAGTCATTGCTTTGTGCGCCTGAGAGTTTTCATGAACGTACAAGTCTCTTGTGCGGCTGTCCCTGATGTCTGAAGATGGCTAATGTACTGTACTGCCGTAAGTACCCGCAAACTGCCGTCGAGATGCCGGGTGGCTTCAGCTCGATTCGAAAGCCATCCTCCGCAAACTGCATCTCTGCATGATGTGTCACGTGAGATAGTGTCGACACGTATGTGGGCAAGCCTCAGCCTCGGCTTTCAGCAAAAAACACATGGGCAAAATGCATGAGTTTACACACGATGCATGGGGACTGCATGTCCTCAAGGCTGGAGACCGCAGAGTGGTGCGTGTGCCGTTTCAGGTTCAGCTTAATTCTCAATGCTAGATCCGTGGCCTCTCCGCACCGGGCCAGTTCCGTTAGCTTAGTTCGGTTTCTGCATGTTTCTGTGCCACTGCATGTGCTCCAAGCAGCAAGCCCTTCATGATGCGGGAAATGTGATTAAAAACGCTGGCTTGGGATTGATTTGTTTAAGATTTTCTGCTGGAAGGCCTTGTCAACTGCACAGGAAGACAGATCAATGTTGTCGATGGAATACTCGTAGTCTGACCTCACATTGAACACGAAAGAGTTTTGCTGCAATGCCCACCTCTCCCAGATTCTGCTCTCTGGCACCTTGGTCTTCAGGCTGAACTGCGGACCGAGAATCGCATCACAATCGCTTTCGATCCTGGAACGGTGCCCCAGGAATTCTCTGCACGAGATGATGGGAGACAATGCCCACGGCTTAACGTGGCACGACTGCACGACTTTAACGGCGCCGGGGTTCTTGGGCACCTTGATGACCTTAAGCTGCTCCGACAAAAACTCCAGGCAAGTGTCCTTGCTTGCCCGCGGAGGGATGCGGAAATGGAGAAAGCTGATTCTACTTCCCAATACATCCCATCACTGCGCTTGCTGCGGCAGCTGTCAAACAGCGCTCTCGTCTGCAGGCTAGAGTCTGTCACCGTCTTAAGAAAGGCATCACCTCAAAGGACTGGTTTCAATTTCTGAGCGCCGCGTGAGTGCCACCACAGGGTTGACTACACAAGCGTTCAATGCGAGCTCTTGAAATCCGAGAACTTTTGCCGTTTCCTGCTGCCTTTGGTAAAGCCGGTGATACATCGTGCAAACTTCTGTTGAGGACAGGCACGCTGTCCAGCTTCGTTGGCAACCTTAACTGTTTCTTCGCAGAAGCTTCGGACTGGACCGGAATAAGCTACTGAATGTTCAGAGACGACAAGCTGCGAGAACAAACATCCAACAACTGCAACTGGAAAGCCACTTGGCTGCCCCATTGCTGCCACTCTTGAGCTTGAGATGCCTCGTCAGTGATGGCAGGTGCAAGCGAAACCGCGTCAACACGACACCGATTGGATCTGCATAGTTCGCTTCTAAGACTGACATCGCTGGTCTTCTGCAGGCTTCTGCCTGGTGGCTCGGGCATCACTAGCGATACGAAAACTCTCGTCCTAAGTATAGTTCTCTAGGCATCACCACTGCTTCCGAACAGTTCTCTAAAAGCGCGAGGCTATCGGACAGTGCTGAAGCATGCGGCAGTGGTATAGTACAGTATGTGGTGGCGAGCTGTCAAGCTGCTTTCGATGCTCTGCAGATTAATTCACAGAATCAACGTTTGGTTCTTTTGTGCATGGCGTTGGGCTGCGTACCTTTGTGCAGATTTTGCATACTGAAACCAGTCGTCCGCGAGTTGTGCATCCATTCTCTTATGTATACCCGGGCTGATCAAACTGCAGAGGCGCTTGTCAGCGAGTCGAGGAGGATCGGGGGTTGTTTCGAGGTTCTTTTCAAGCTGGCGGATTGCAGGTCTGAGTCTAACTGATGCCCAGCCCCAAGAGCTGGCGGCCGCGGGGATTCTTTGCCCGCTTGCACGCGAAGATTGGATTGAGCCCGTGGGAGTGACACTATCGTCCCAGTTGGGGCACTGGCATCTATCTCTTAGGGTTCACACGACGCACAGGCAGGCAATGCTCCAGGGACTCCAGGGACCTTTGCTGCGCCTGTCTGATGGTGTCTTCCTGCGTTTTGGTCTCCAGGCCAAGATCGGCAGTGACTTTTTAACAGCTACGTTGACCCCCCGCATTTCTGGCGCCCAGTGCTGCCGGTGCTGCCGGCCGGCCTTTCTGCCACTGGAAGGAGGACAGGACTAATCATGCCTTGACGAACAGTTGAAAGACGGGGTGATCCGGGTCTCCGTCTTGCTGCTTGCCAGGTGCTAGCTTGGGGCCTGGACAGGCAGGGCACGAGGTGGGGCCCACGGGTTTTTGGAAGCGACTACTGATATGGGTTCGTTTGCAGGAGCCGCGCCCTTCCAGTCCCGCCTGGCCTCTATGGTTGCGAGCCATTTCTTCAGTGCATCTGGGTCCTAGGCGGGGCTGAGCAGCACGCGCTGCATCAAAGCGCAAACGCACCAGACCTCCTCGGCAGAGGCCAAAAGGGTCCGGCCCTGCTCCAGCAGCTGCCCTCGGTTCTTCAGTCTTTCGGTCTCTCGGATATCAACCCCGCCAATGTCACAGTAGAAAGGCTTCAAGCATCTAAGGAATCTAAGGGCATGCTCTGAATGACCTCTTTCTGAGCTCAGGTGCGGCTCTTTGTACTGTCGGAGCTCTCCAGCTTCTGGATGTGCTTGCTTGCGTGTTGGAGCAGGCCAGACTCAGACTCCAGGCGAGGAATGAAAAGGAGTGCCTGCTCTGGCTTCGAAGCACATCACTGCCGCTCTCTAGCACCATCGCTACATGTTGCGAGGCTGCACACACCCACGGGCACCTTCTTCTGCGCTTCTCGTAGGAACTTCGTTCCGGAGTCCGTGTGCATATACTTCTGCCCTTTCCTTGCATCCGAGCACTAAGGCATTCAATGAGGGATTGGGTCGTGGATTTGTCCGAATCAAACCGAGATTCTCAATCAAAGTGTCCAGCTTCAAATTCCCATCCACCCAGACGAGGCCTGCAACAGCAAAGCCGACAGGGCTACATCACAGTCATCGTTTGCAGATGAGCTTCCACACATGTCTATGCAGTGTATGCATGTAATACATATCCCAAAAACGGACGCACATACCATTTTGTAAACAAGCCGCAAGTTCAAGACCCTGCGACACAGCCATGGCCCCTGGTCTTTGTACGAGGATGCTTTATCCAGGTGTTTTGCCTTCCGGTATCGCACGCCGACAGATGGCCGACAGATCATCGACCCGCTCGAAGGACTCGCTATAAGCTATGTAGCTTCAGGCGATTTCAGAAGTGGTACAAAGACTTCCACTGGCGTTGAACAACCAATGCAACAAGACAACTTGATCCTAATTCCAGGCAGTGCCTCTGGCTTGTTAAATGATTAAAGTGCGTGCTGGCAGAAGCCCCCAACCGAAGAAACACACACTGAAAGCCAAATTCAATGGCCTGCCACCATAATGCACTTATATGCACTTGCTGCATCGCTCTGGTTTTCACAGGCTTTTCCTCATGCTATGTGTTGAAAATACATGTTGCATAAGATCTCATCCGATAGTAGGAGCTTCCAGAAGCCAAGCGACTCAGAGGCTTAGAGGTTAGAGTGCAAGGCACTGTCATGAAGCCTCGACGCAAGAACCAGAAAGCCATTAAAAGATCGATGTAGGCTTCACACGTGATCACGACATTGCCTGTCATAGAGGACATCAATCCATACAGTGGCACAGACGGCTACTTGGAAGTGCTCTAACTCCTGGAGTCGACTGAGCATGCATCCTGGACCAAAGAGCACAAGATTCTATCAATCCTTGATTCGCTTCAAAACTTTCAGGCCTAGGCCCGCCGCTCCACTGGTGAGCAACTCGCGGCATCGGCCAGTCCAGTCGCCGGCCTCTCGTATGAATTCTGTGGAGTCTTGGCTCGATTGGTGGATTGCAGCATCTGGCTCCACCCGCTGTTAGCACCTTGGAGAGGTCCAAGGAGGTGAGAAGACCTAAGTGAACAAAGAAGAGGCCACTTGGAAAACACGCGTTGACTTGATGCCCTCGGATTGGGGGTCGCCTCCCTATACTGCGGTAACTAGTGCTTCACGGAATCCTCTGCATACATCACGCGTCGATCACTACTGCACCAGGTGTCACCATGACAGTCGTGGTGGTTCAGATTCAGCTTCTTCGAAGCGTGTGCAGAAGCTCAGAAGCTCGACCATCGGCCGGTCATGTTGCGCTGACAGTAGTTGTGAGTTCGCCTTCGACCATTTTACAATAATCAAAGTCGCGGCTTCGCGACGATCTCACGGAAGGTGCAGCTGAAGTGCCCTGAAGTGTCTCTGGGTCCTGGTGTGCCGTGTCCAAAGTCCTGGTCGGAGGAGCAGAAGTGCCTAAAGACTTCTTGAGTGCTTCCTGAAATAGATTGCTTCGACGAAAGACATGATGGAAGTACAGAAAAGCAGGCGCCATTCCAAATGAAATCTGAATGCTAGATTGCTAGATGCATCAGAGCGAGGCAACCCCGCGCCTTTGGCCCCAGGAGATCAATGCAGCACCCTTGCGGGACTTCTGCAATTGGCCTGTTTCAGTGGGCGAGAAAGCCGAGCGTGCCATGGAACAACACGCGCTCTCCGTTACCCATGAAAGAACTCAGATTTTGCTACTGAAGTATCCAAGACAGGCCGTCCATGGCTCGCGGCAATGCTGGGTGACACCTCCTGAGTGCAGCTGAGTATCTCAACAGCTCGGCGGCCTGCAACGCAGGCGGTTCTGGAGACACGCTTCCCGTCAATACCAAGCTAGAGGATTAGATTTTGCTCGGAAGGGACATATGCACCCGCGGCCGGACTGCACAAGCTTTACAAGGACCGGTGCGATCGCTAGTGTACTAGTGAGACTACTAACTGGGAGCAGCTTTACTCAGGATGTCGGCCGAGCGAACTCCGTGCCTGAGCATCAAGCCCTGTGCCGTTTGCTTTGGCATTCAGCATGGCCTCGGTACAACTCTGGAAGCAGTGGATACCACTGGTCCACCTCACAGGATTCTAAAGTTACTAAAGCTTGGAACAAAAGCTGCCGTGTGTAAGCAGCTGGGAAACTCCATGGACTGCAGTCTGGGGTGCTGACCAGCAAACTCAAGGCCTGCGCCTGCGCCGTGCGAAGCACTTCGCGACCTTCCTGGCCAGGACACAGCACACAACTGAAAGAGGCATGTAGAGGAACTCCAATCTTTCTAGATGCCCCCCCCTCAAGATCCACGGCACTGGTGGTTCATGGTGCACGAGACGCTACAATGCTCGACACGAAACACGGTACTGCTTAAAAAATCCAAAATTCTGGCATCTATGGCTTGGCGGTGTTTCTCCAAAGTTTTGTAATTTTTTTGGCATTTTTAAGCACTCGCACTCGAAGGGTTTGGGGTGAACCTAGTTTCTGCAGAGCACTTTGGCTCACGAAGTACATTAACACAGGCAAACACTTCCGTTGTGTATCCACATCTCTTCTTTCCACGGCACATCAGGCAATGGGGCCTCACTACACATTGCAGCCAGGCTAGCCACAACAAGCATCCCACTGCTTCACTGCTTCACTCTTTCCAGCGTCCAGTGGAGCAGCGAGTTAGGGTTGGAAACTTTGGAATGTATTGAGCATTACAGTGTTTTAGAGGCTCAGTGCACTAAATTCTGTAATAGGCCCTGCAATGCGCAAAACATTCAAAATGCTGGCTGGCATCTACGACTAGTCGGGGAGCAACTTTCTGGAATTGCTTGAGCATTGCAGCGGTTCGTGAGTTTTGGTTCGGAAATTTTGGTTGGAGTTTGAGGAGAATTCGATTGTTTTGTGAGTTTAAGGACACAGAATCCTGTAATGAACAAAAAAATCCCAAAACTTCCCATCTCAAAACTCACGAATCACTGTAATGATCAATAAATCCAAAAAACTTGCGGCAGCTCTCAGTGTCTTCCCATCTGTCAACAAACGGTACAGTATTGCCATTAATCATGCAGGCCCCATGAATTAGGCAAAAGCACAATCGGACGCTTCACGTGCAGCGGGAAAGAAACGGCCACACATAGAATATCATAGAATCGTACATAAGAGAAGATGGACTGCTTTTGTTGCAAGAAGACTTATTGTCCAAACAACACACGATAAGATGCGACAACAAGATTTCTTTGACACATCACTTTCCGAACGTTCCAGCATTTTGAGCTCGCCAGCACATCAACCGATATCATCTTCGGCTACAGATTTACGCGCTTGTCAAGCCCGCGACATTTTGCGGCACGGTTTGTATGCGCGTGAAGATAGGCCCGACTATGTCGGTACTTACGGTGTTTCCGTATATCTGAGTCGTCTACCGAGAATATATGAAAGAAACCGGGGAGTCGTGTGGATTTATGTATATATATATATATATATATATACGTATCTTATACATATACATATACATATACATATACATATACATGTACATGTACATGTATATGTATGTATATATATATATATATATATATATATATATATATTTAATGAGACGGGGGTATATGGGGGCCTTGCAGCGCACAGTTCTGCATCTGTGATGCTCTCGCGTGGCCGGCTTCATTCAGGAATCATCAATCTTACTAAATCGTCGTTGTGGTGTGTACAGCACGCATGTCTTGTTCCCCGACCGCAAAAACATGAAGAGGCGTACTGCTGAAATGCTACTCGTCTTTGGCAAGGCATTGGACCCTCTTTGCCCCTTCGACAAGCCAGCGCAGGACTCGAGGGTTCAACAGCCAGCGACAGGCACCTCCGTCTTCAGCAGGTCTTGCCCTTGGGAAAGCACCTCAGGCTCCGATCTCAACCGTGGGTGGTGTCGACTCAATTCCACAGGCTGATCGGCCAACGGAGGGACAGCTGCCTGCTCTAAGTCGACATCCTCGTCATCGTCCACGTGGATGCCGGCAGCTCGCAGCTTCTCTCGAGCCGCCTCGCGTCACGCAGTGTCATCTCTGGACTCCGGAGCCGATCCCCTCCCGGTCCCACACTCTCCACACACAAGGCACAAGCGCAAGCAGGGCCCCCCCCCGCCTCGCTGTAGAGCAGCTGGATGCACTGTTCCTTCGCTTTTCCTTTGCGTCCGGGTCATGTCATGCCACATCGGTGCCGAGAGTCCCGCCACCACATCACGACACGTCAGGTCACAGATGGTCCGTGCTCTGCCACTGCCTTCTCTTCGACCGCAGGACGATCTCAAGTGCCCACGGGGTGCCGTTCTCTCAAATGCGCAAGCCGAGAGCTGCATCGGTTGGCCGGCTGCCGACAAGCCAAGCGACACCAGCAAGGAAGCACCTCCCTCGCTGCAACAAGACCCGTCTTGACCATGCTACGTACAACGAATGCGCTGCAAGAACATTTTTGTTCCCAGAATCAGACTCAGGACAATGTGACTCGCTTTCATGGCTCCCCTCCTGTTTGCGAAACTTGAAGCACTTAGCTACATCTGTGAGTCATTTTGAAATCAATGTCATGCAACTACTCAATTGCCTCGCATGTGCCACTCGTGCCGCATTGTTCATTCACACAAAGACTCACAAACTGCAAAATGGACGGTACAAGTAGCAGTACTAGCAGCAGTAGTAGCAGCAGCAGCAGGAGCAGGAGCAGGAGCAGGAGCTGCAGCAGCAGCAGCAGCTGCAGGAGCACAAGCAGGAGCAGCAGTAGCAGTAGTCGTCGTCGTCGTCGTAGTAGTAATAGTAGCAGTCAGGTGAATGCAGACAGGAGGCGAAGGCGAGCCGCGTTTGCACTGTAGATTTGCGAACTGATGTCCTGTGAAGTGGCACTGACAGGCCTTGCAACACCGCAGCTTCTTTGCTTTGCTAGGGGTGTGGAACGGGGGCAGTCCCCCGCCCCACACAGTTTGCGCTACCCCGTTCTTTCTTTCGCTACCCCGTTCTCTGTCTCTCTCTCTCTCTGTCTCTCTCTCTCTTCCTTCGCCAGGCTTGTGGGGCGAGCCCCCCGCTGGGGTCTCTCTCTCTCTCTCTCTCTCTCTCTCTCTCGCTGCCGTGCAGATTCGCAGCTCGGGAATCGTGGATCTGGACTGACTAGCAACACTGGACCACAGTTGGGCTGCACAAACAATGCACTGGCACGTGTAGCTGCACGCAAGCTCGCGGTCCGCTAGGTTGGAAATGTTGAAGGAAGCCAGGCAGTTTCGCAGCAATTCCTAGGGTGGGACGCAGCGGAAGTGTGCAAAAACTCTTTCACACCCTCGAAGCCATGGTTCGTCGTGCGTCCGCTCACAAATCAGGAACCATCTCGCTACCCAGTTGCTGGATCGGTCTCCGCATCCCGAACCTGTGTGCTGGTTGCAGCAAGGAACAACTACTTGTAGGATCAGCTACGAGCTCGGGCAAAGGCGTTCGGCTTTGATGGCTTTGAAATGGTTTGAAGATTCTGCACTGAGGGGTCAGATGCATTCGCTGAGTCTCAACTGCTTGCAGTTTCGAGGGGTCTCAGATGCCCAAACAGCCGTCAGGCATTCCGAGAGATCATATGCCCCGAAGGTACATCCCATGTTCTACTACTGAACGACCTGGTTCCCCAGACCAGGGAGTTCTCGTGCAGCTTTGGCACGGTCCATACCCCCACTCAGCTAAAATGAAGTCTGGGCAATTCTTCCCCGTTCCCTCTGCGCGCTTCACCTTCGCCCGGCTCCATGCGAGTAGCTTTGATGCAACACCTCGGTGAACAAAAGGACATTAATGCAGACATGCAGAAATACAGTGGAAGGGACCCTGACCTGTGCCAGGACTGCGCGGAGCCGTCAGAGCAAAGGAAGATGTGACAAGGGCCAAGCAAGGGAGCTCATACTGCCGAGAGTCCGTTCCTTTCCATCTGCATCAAGATCTGCGGGGGCTGGAAGCACACAGACTACAGTGAAGTCGTGGAGTCATGCTATGTCATGCTCGCGCGTTGCTGAGTGCATCTGGCATCCGAGAACAGAGAGTGCATGGATGCAGCACTGGGGCGCGGGGACGGCAGGAAGGCACACTCGTTAAATTTTCTGAAGCCCTTTGAATCTGGGCGAGGGTTGCACGCACACACGCACACACACACACACACACACTTGCAGTAGACCTCTTGGTCTAGATGTGTCGGGAGTGTGGCTGATCTCCTGATCTTCACTTATGTCTGGATGCGTTAATCTGCTGAATCTTCTGTGTTATCTTTCTCAATCAAGGATCTCAAGGCTCATCTGAGAACGGACAACATGTCACTTACAACCGACATGTGCAATCACTCAAGACATCGAGTCCGCCAGCTATCCAGTCAGTGGATCCAGGTGCAACTCTGCAGGTACAGGAATGTACGTCTACATTCCCTTCCACCGGTGCTCGATAGCTTCGTTGGCATGGCTAAGAGCACAAGCGCCATGCCCCCTGCATTGTTACTTAGCCCTTTGTTACAGGGATGCACACACACACACACACACACTCCCTCAGTTCATGGGGGGAAGCTCAGCAGTTTTGGCTCCACTATGGTTGTTTCAACACATGCTGCGCAAGCTTCAGTGTGCTGCAAAACCGTTTCTTGGGACCTGGCTTCTCTTTGATCAGCCGGTCACCATGTTTATGTAAGAAGTTCAACATGAGCTGCGCACGACTGGGCAGAAAGAAATCATCTCCCAGAACATGAGGCTGTTTCATTCACCGATGGAATTGCTCCTTCGGACAAGGAATAATTTGTTCTCACTCCTTCTGCGTCTTCATCAATCACGCGGAGCCGACGTTTGCGTTGTGGTTGACGTTCTTCCTCCTTTTGGGGAAGGACTTCTTTAAGGCTACCAGCGGTTGAAGATTGCGTGCACGATCTATTGCTAGAGGCACTAGCAATGTTGGCGGAATCTGGTAGGAGATCTTGATCAGAATCAGGTAATGGTACATGTTCTGAACCGTTATCGCATCCAATGACATCGCAACTGCACTCGAAATCAGAGCTGTCAATCAGCTCCGGGACTGCAAGGCTGTCGGCGTACGAACTCGCATGGAGTCCATTGTCCGAACTGGACATCTGAGCAACACTCGGAACCTTGATTCATGATGTAGACGAACAGAACCATCCCGGAACGACACACACACACACTCTCACACTCACGCTCACACACACACACACAGAGACAGAGGACACACGCACATGCATGCATACCCATAGGTCCCAGTCACCCTGCCACCCCCCCTCCCCCCCCCACCCCTCCACCCCTCCACCCACCCACCCATCAACCCGCCCAACCCAGTCCCTGCACGCAACCACCCCATATGGCCATGGCGGCTATGCACTCCACGCCTGCACACATGCATAGCCATATGGTTAATTACTTATGGTTACTTAATTTACTCACACTGCCGCTAGAACGGGACCCAGGCGCCGCACATGCAGCGCGAGACAAGAGGGAGAGAGAGAGGAAGTGAAGAGTAGACAGAAAGAGAGCAAGCGAGAGAGAGAGAGAGAGACACTACGGAGGTTGGCACAAGCAGGGAAGAGTGTCATTCTGACTACACAAAATCTTAATGTCGGCCTGCTTGGACGCTTGCGACTGGCCGTCTTTCTGCGCAGCCAAAGTCAGCATGGGGAGCATCGTGAGCAGTTGCTCTTGGCCCTGCCTCGCGTTCTGAACTTACAGATGTGAGGGAGCGAGTGAGGGAGGGCAATGGCAAGCGACAAATACAAACACTGTCGCTCAAAGGACTCCTTTGACGTGTTCTTTTCTGGTTCTTTTTTACAAGGCACGACAGGAAACCGCCCTGAACCATCACCCTATCTTGCTGGCCCCTGGATGTCCATCATCCATGAACGCACATCATCGCCTGAGTAGAGCTTGGCCGGCTTCCGTGTGAAGCCTGGGTACCGCTGCAAAGACGACATAAGAGACATCGTGTCAAGCGCCAAACTGTGCAGCAGGGAAGCAGTTCCGGGCCGGATCTCAAGACCGTTTCCAAGGGTACTTTCCTTGGCTCTGCAGCTTGCAGAGAGGCAAGTCGCGACAGTCGTGATGACTCTCAATATGAAGGGGAAACGATTAACAGGTCTGCCGACGTCGCTCCGAAAATTGATCCCTCATCCTGCCGGGCCTAGAACCTACACTGTCGTCGTAGATGACGTCGAAACGAGATCACTTCATGTCTGGCGAGTCTCGCGATTTTGTTCGATTCAACTCCCATCGCTTCCAGCTGTTTCTTCGTATAGCTGCCTCCATCAGGTTGCAACTCGCTCAACATGCTGCGGGCCAGATGTCCCGAATTCTGCAAACACCTTTAACCTCCATGTCAGCACCTCCAAATGCCAAACATTGACATGCTGAGGAGATTTGACAAGACTGCCAAGTCGGATGGCTGATGCTACCAGTAAAAGATTTTCTCAATACATTCTAGCACCGCTCACGCCTAGCTGGTCATGCAGGTCGACCAGCACTCGAGGACCCCGTCCACGAAAGTCCGAGAGCAAGGATGAGCCGTAGTTGAGAAACTCGCGTGTGTCAAAGGCAGTGCTCCTCGGCTGCTTGCAGAAACTCGGCTGCTTACGACAGTGGTTCCACTCTGATCCCACCCGGTCACATCGCCATGGAACTTGCGAGGCAAAGCAGCTCTGACTTGCCTCCACCGTTTGCTGCAACCTCGCTGGCCTTCCATGCTTTCGAAGCTGACTTGGTGATGAATCCTATTTGCTGCAGGCTTGCACGCAAGGACGCGTGGTAGTTTGCGGCTCTTCCGCCGTCTAGATGTGGTGATAAATCCTGAACCGCTTTCCACACCTCTTGTGGACTTCATTTGCTACGTGGACCCGGCAGCAAGTATCAGATTTTGGCCGTAAGCAAGCACTTGGACAGTGAGACTCGGACCGGTCCAGGCAGAAGTGTTACAGGGACAATAAGGGGACCGACTTCATTGCAAGAACGCTGTTTGACTCTTCCAAATCCAAAGTCCAGAACCGTTAGGCTTTCCATCTCAACCCTAAGCCGCCTCCCAGGGCAGTGGGTTGAGCCAGGTTCCAACAGATGGGAGTGTGGCCCAAGCATTTTCAGACTGCGCCTCGGCCACGCGTCGATTGGCAAAGCCAGGAGTTCAGATAGGAAAACACCGGTGCTGTGCTGAGCTGCGCAAGGCCCAGTGCGTTGAATGCAAAAAGGTACACTTACTACCGACTCGTACCTTCCAAGCCCTTTAAATTCCATCAAACAACTGCCGACTCACCCACGGCTATCTGTGCTTCCCTCCTCTTTGCGCTGTATTGCCTCGAATGCAGCTGCTTGCGCAGCGACCGCCGCAGCCAGATGTTCCTCTCGAGGACACAATGGCTGCAAAAGCGTTTCGCTCACCGAAGGTCGACCGTTTGGAGCTGGGCACTTCCAGTTAATGCATATCCGCCACCAGATGCAGTCCTGTAGCACACGGTCTCACAACCCCATCTACAACTGCTTCAGTTTGAGATGTTGGCCCGTGCTGTCTCTCACATGCTCCTGTGTTAAAGAGCGCAGACAATCAGGACCCGCGACACAGCATGTCGTAGTGCGCTTCGCCCAAAAGCAGAATCCCCACTTCGTCGCTTTCCCGTTCCCTGAGTTCCAGTCGAGTCGCGGCATAGCAGGGGATGAAATGAGGGCGGGCAACATGTTCTGCTACGCTTCCTTAGTGGCGTTGTCCAGAAGACGCGGTAGCAAGGGCCAGGGAAGTACTTTCATTGCCGAGGAAAACCTGTATTCAGCTTTAGGACTGAGGCACGTCCACAACATACATCTTGATGAATAGTGCCGAAATCCCAAGCATGCAAAAAATTGGGTGCCCACCAACCCCGTCTGGTAGGATCTCTTCGACGTTCCAAAGCTTTCCCCATCAGCTGTCGATTGCCGAGACATGGCTTGGCCCTTTTACTTGTTGCTTGCTTCCACTCCTCTCAACGCAATCCTAACTCAAACCGACCCAAGCTTCCGGACTGCCCCTCGCGCCCAAGCGCCGCCACCTCCATCCCGGCAATCCTGAGTTCAATTCAGTATCTCATGTCACGAAATGTAGGCACGACCTGGCGATGGTATGCGCGCACTTGCCACATAAATCAGTGAGTCTCCAAAGTTCGAGCCACCAGGTCACATTACCCCCGAGTCCTTCCAAAATCTGCAAATCCCCTCTGTCAACCGGCTTTTTTCTTTTAACGGCTTATCCCTCGCAGTATCGCCCAGCCGAGGGACATCATGTGGAGCGACTTGCTTGTGGTGGGGTCCAGTATGATCGCGGTGCAGACATGCCTTGCATTCGGGCCATTTTCCACATAGCTCAAGCAGGCCCCGCTATAGATGCGCGACAAGGCAAGCAACTCGGCCGTTGGCAAGCTAACAGACTCAGACTAGCGGGACTAGCGAACAGCAACCGCTGCGAGCATCTCGGAGGCCCGGCTGCTCCCCCACACATAAGAACTGCTGGCAAGGCTGCCTGTAATCATGAGCCTGCATGGCCTTTTGCAGCGGTGAGAAGGCAGTGGATAGAACGGTGCTCACCTGTCGGCATGTTTTGAGTAGCATTGCAACCCAGCAATGAAGCGGAGCTTCATGTCTGCCTAAGTATCTCTCGAATTTTCTATTTGTCGACCCTCGAATTTTCTAATTGTCGACCAACTGCAGGACGGCTGCTTCGTGCATGCCCAAGCCGCCTTTCTATTGTTATCGTTCGGGTCTTTGGGGTTGGCAGGCAAGCAGGCCACCACATCCTGGGCAGCAGAACAAGCATGCGCTTCCCGTAGCAGCTCATTTACAACATACACGTAGCTTCGTGCTGGCGACTGACTCTTCAGTTGATGCTACTCCATGTATCATGCGTGTTGCGCAGCTGAATCCCGCCGCGGTCTCGCAGTATGGATTGGCGGGCCGGGCCACGTGTTTTCAGTTGATTTTCCCACAAGCCCAGCTTACAAAGTCGAACCGCAGGGGAATGTCCGAGCTGAAGACTGGGTTGAGCAAGTCCCGGGACTTCTTAAGCTCCTCAACATCCGCAAGCCAATTTTCCAGTTTGTGAAGCGGGTTGTTGGGGAGGCGTCTCTGCGGATCAGGTGGCGTGGCCCATTTCCCCATCCAACGGGCGGGCTGAGAATCGGAAGGTACAACATTTGGCTCTATGTAGCGGCTGCACCAGAGGCATCGCACGCCTCCCGAACCCCCGTCACTACACGAGATCAGGCTGCACCAGCGAATAGGTGATCGATATGTGCAGAAATCACCACCGTGGGCTCACTGGTAATGGTGGTACGATAATTAGGCAGCTTTCGTAGAGCCTGGGATAGGGCAACACTGCAACACATCCAGCCCGCAGGCCGTTTGCTTCCCCGTTTCTCAGTCTTAACATACCAGTCTAAGTTGCCCAATCCCAGTTCTGCAATCAGTACTCCTCCACCACACAATCCCGGCAGCACAAGTGGCCAAGCAACCCCGCCTCCACAAGACGGGCGAGGAACAAAAAGAAGTAAGGTCCAGGACAGCCCTACCAGTATCTGCCATACTATGCTGATTTTGCACGACATGCACTGATTTGAACGAAATACACCAAGACTCCATCTTGTTGATGAATCGCGCCATGTGTGGAACTAGCCTCTGAAAGGCTGCCACGAAGGCTGCATCGCCCAAACGCGGGGTCCCCCAGGTCACACACCTTGCGTTTGGACACATTGTGATGACCTTTGGTCTTCGTCGGTTCTGAGCTGGGCCCAGGTCTAGCTCAGTAGCTCCAACCCTGTTAGCCTTGCCATTTGCTTTCGCTGCCCTCCCATCCAGTCGTGGCCAGGAGCCAAGCTTTCCAACCGTAGTTGTGCACAAAATCGTAGGCACACCTCAGTCACAAGGCACCTTGTCCTGAGACGCCTTGAAGCTGCAGTTGACACACGTACTTCCGGTGGTAGTTTCAAGCACGGCCGACATGCCATGTCCTTATCAAGCCATGTTGAACTTGAGCTTAGCTGCAGCATGGCTAAGGCACCGCCGAGACTGTGCCCCGTGACGCGCATGTGGAGGGAAGCTTGTTGGGTCAGGCCATGTTCCTTGGGCAAGACGGCAGTGACGGCAGAAGCTCCAAGGCAGTCCACACGCGCTCCAATGCCACCGCAAGCGGGCGCATGACGAATGCATCCGGAAGGTTTGTCATAAGTACCGGCATAAAGCAACTGAGCTGCTTTCAAGCAGTCGTGGATCTTGTCCAGCAGTACAGTTCGAAGACTGAGATAAGCTTTCTGACAGTCAGAGCAACGACTCAACCACAACTCGAAGGACGTGAAGAAAACAACCCGCGAGCCTGGAACCCTTGGTGGACCATGCCAGCCTCTCCGAGACTCTTGTAAGCATCACCACCGTCAGTAGAACCAACACAGCAACGCGGCAATCATAAAGCTGGAGTATAGAAGCAATCACACCAGCGCGGGGGTTTGCCTTTTATCAGTTGGGGGTCTGAGGCATGGTTGTTCATTGCCTGAGCTTTCGGCTTTTAGGTGTGGCTGTTTGCTCCTAGTGGCCCTCTATCGCAGTCACCCCCAATTCGAGATCATCTCAATGTCCTTCCAGGGTGGGTCGTCGGCGACCGGTCCTGAACCCCCCCCTCAAATAGCGGCAAAGGCTATCCGGGACATGGCAATTACAGGGCACGGAGGAGGCATCGCGATGCCTGGCTGCCAACCTCACAAGGCACCAGCGAGGTGGTGAAGTTCGTAAGCCTGGGACAAGCGAAATACAAAACCAAGTGGAGTACCTACAAAACCAAGAAGACTATCTCTGATGATGGTGCTTTCCTGGTCGTGCACGACCCTCACTCCGAAACCAAAGTGTCAGCCCTATCAGCAAACAGTCCAGCAAAGGCCGAAAACGCCAACGCTCCTGCCAGCGACATCCAGCAACCGCAACAGTCGGTGCAGTTTCTCGGCCCCGGCCACGGGACGCAGGGACGGCGCTGGCTAGTGATATCCGCCGAGGCCACAGGCCCAGGCGTACGGCACCTAATCCTCCTCCAGTCCAAAAGCTTCGAGACACACGAAAAAGCAGCTCTACGGCGGCCACGCACCTGTTGAATCGTGGGAGTCCTGCTCAAAGAAATCTCAATACAGCCGTGACCTGAACAAATTTCCCCCTGCACCTGAGGAACCGAGGCGGGCGGCGTAGCGTTAAAATTACAGTGATTGAAGTCATGTCTGCCTGGTTTCCCCATGCCAGAGTTCAGAAGAAGGCACCAGTTGGCAATACGGTCGGTGCCACGAAAAGCCAGCTCCAGCTCGGCCTGTGGCGAGTGCAATGCTGCCACAAGCTTTGAGACAGGAACAGTCCACACGAAAACCCGAAACGACCTCTGCCACACCGCCGCGACGCAACCGGCCGACGAGTCGCAACGCTGAGGTCTCCTGACGCACATTGTCAGGCTTTCACCCAGCCCCGTCGTTTGGAAATTCTCGGGCATCATGCCGGCTCGCACTAATCATTTAAGTATTGTTCAAGTCAGCCCAAGGCACGAGCGCAAAGCTCCTGAAAGAACTTGACTGCATCAGGAGACGAACTCGTACATTCCCAGAAACCATTTGTCGAGTCGACCTTGGTGGAGCTTGCGAAGTTTTTGTCCTTGCATCCACAGGAATTCACAACACGTTGGCATATGTTATGATGCTGATGTGCCTTCAACTGCGTGAGTTGCAAGGACTCCAACTCCGCAGTGATTGTTAGAAGATTGACAATGAAGAAGCCAAGCCATTCCAAAAGTTGGTCCCGTGTGCTGAGACTGGCGTATGCTGTCGCATTTTACTGTGGCAGCTGCCAGCCGAGGCACCGGCCCATGGCAACTCAGAGCAACGCCCTCTGGCTCGGACAGAGCCGCACCCAGTAGCGGTGCAACAGGACTGTGGCAATGCGTTGTTTCTAGCAACACCCTAAGGGCACAAATGTACGAATGCCAAGGACTAGGTTCAACGGCAACGAACTAATTGGATGCGTTCAAGTGTTAGCGGGAAAACAGCTTGCAAACAACAGGTATGTCGTGGAAGGACCGGTCGCCCATCCAGACACGAATGTTGATTGGACTGCAAGTTCAGAAGTGCCTCATGCGGCGTGCCGTGAACACCCAGCTGCCCCTGATGCCCCTGCAGCCTGGGTACTTCCACAAATTCGCTGGCAATGTCGGGAGGAAGGCGGTCCCCACAAAACAGTCTGATGCAGTCGTTGTCTGAGTCCCCCTGGAAGTCACCTGAAGCCGCCGACACATTGGCACGCGGGGCTTGTAGATGGGAGAGCAACTCGCGCAGCCTGCCCGAATATCACCTTTGTGACAGCCGTCGCGAGCCAAGGCAATGCAGTCAAGGCTCAATATGAGAGAGCACATCTCCACAGCTCTTGCTGCAAATACCTCAGGATCGATGTCACGACCCACGGAACATCGCATCTGTTCTTGGCAAAGGCATTCGTGGTGAAACAGGCCGCTTGTGGATCATGTGGCCACCGGACGTCATTCTTGAAGCTATTCCCGACTGCTTCACAGATGCTGATGCGATGAGGAGAGGCGACATTTGTAGGTTCCCAAGCAGTTCCCCCCCAGCTTGCGACACGATTCAGGAGGCGGGGACATGGCAGACTCGGGGGTTTGAACTGCCGGGCGACTGCGGGGTCGCCAACAGCTGGGAGGCGAAAGCCGACATCAGAAGGGCTGCGCCGGCAGGATATGTGATGGTCCTCGGGCAGCTGGATCGTACTTGCTCATGCCCGCTAGGTCCCTAGGTGTGAACTGCAGGCTTGAACATGGACAAGGGTGTACGCGGTATGCAATCACGTGGCATGTGCAAAACTCACGTGCTGCCAAGAAGCACGCAGAAGCCGCGAGCAAGAAAAACACATGGTCCAGCCACAGAGTCAACCACGGCATGGAGTAATCTTGCCAACTCAGATCTGTGTATTGTCCGTACACAGCATGTCTCAGCCTATCTGTCTCTGCGAACGCCACCCCCTGTGTAATAGCCCACAACCTCGCACCGATCACGTCAGCAACGTCCAATGGTTGCGATCATGGTAGAATTGGTAAGCGAGACCACATAGCAGAACTTTCGTCCGAAAAGCTTGCAACGCTAAACTCAGTCGATAGCATCTTCTACAGCACGCACGTCTAGGAGTCTAAGAACCACGTCGTGTACCCTCTGCATGGGTCCGGGGTGGCTTCACAGGTCCAAGCCCTAACTTCGTTTGCTCCTAGCCAAAACGGCATGGCTGGGTGCTAACTTTCGAGCGTAAATCTTTCTTCACTCCTGAAACAAGGTCTCAAGGTCTTCATCCACATGCCGCCGCGTGGAGCCTTCATCCCAATTTTCGCAGCTCCCTTTCAAACCCCTCCCACCCTCCCTCTGACCCTGGTGCTTCCGTCCCGCAGCGGATGAATTTGCCGCTGTTCCAAGGGGGGGGGGCCTGGCCCAGGAGCACTGTCTCCGAAAATTTCTGGGAGCAGGGCCGGCGAGCGGTGGTCTGAGCCCCGCATCACCTGCCGTGAACAGCTCGGCACCACAAAACCGTAGAAGGCAAGCCGAGCCTGCCAAGCACTGCAAATCACGGATGGCACGGCATGGCTGTGCCACTTGAGATTGAAAACGGCGTCCCGCAGCCCCTTCTGCCAAGGATGTAGCAGTGTAGCACATGACAAGAAACCACACTGCAGATTCGTAATCATGGCAAGTCGGCACATCCTGCAAGAAGTGTTCCTGCCATTTTAACTATCCACTCTGCGACATGAGCCTTTCAGCTCCCTGGGGTTTTCGCACTGCCTGCCGATGTATAGCCCTGGAGTTTGGGGTCATAGCACTCTCGCACAAAAGCCCCGAACAGCTGAAACTCTCAGTCAAATTCTGCTCCAAGTGAAACGGTGAAACCTGCTTCGTCTCACTCCCAGGCCGCCTGTCCAAGTCGAAACGGCTTCTTGTTAGTGGTGGACCTCGTTTACAGTTATGTTGCCACCGCCTTCTTCATATTAATCTGAACTTTGACGTTGCTAGGGGAGGGGATTCTTTGCTTCCGCTGGAGGGCGCCAGATAGTTGTGGTCGTCCTTTCTTTGTGCCGTGGGGCGGGGTCTCCGTCGGCACAGGGGCAGGAAACCAAATGTACTAAGTGTAGAAACTGCAGCTGTACATCATGCATCTGCTGCTTCTTGCAGACTTGCAAGTTTTCTAAATCTGCAAACCGAAACTACGACTCTCTCTGGGGAGAAAATCCGGGCTCAACCATGCCGTACATCTACTCAACACACAATTACCAACATTCTAAGGTCCTATACGTATAACTGCAACAATATATGCAAGAAACACGAATCGCAGTGGAAGGGTGGCACAGGGGAAAGCTGATGAAGCCTCGAACGCAGAGCTCCGAGACGGGGAACACAGGAAATCGGGACAGAAGATACGACACAGCCAAGACGGGGACACCGGACAGGCATGGAGGGCAGGGAAAGGGGATAGAGGCAGATAGCCACCAGAAGGAGAAGCTTGCAAGCATGGACACAGAATCACGTCGGCATCAACACCCCACATCCCTTGTATTGCAAAAATAGCGAGCTGGGGCAGGACGATGGCGTTGGATAGCCAACAGAAGCTTCGGGACTTGCCAACGATGTGGACAGTGCGCAACTAAAGGGTCAGCACATGGGTCAGGGGGCTAAGCAACAGCGGACGATCAAGTCATGTTGGGAAAATGCAGCTCCATGCTCGACCGGCGCTCGCAAGTTTGGGGTTTCTTCTTATTTGTGCCTCCTTGGTTCAAGCATTGATCTGCGGCAGAGAGAAGAGGTTCTACACAACAGAGGCCGAAAGCTGTAATCGCGCAAGCACCACATGTGCTCGGCTCTCGTAGACTTCTTGCATTGCCAGCCGCTGCCTCATCAAGCAAGACTGTGCAACTGCTGACGAGGCCAAGGATCATGCAGTCTTGACGAACACCGCCACCAGAGAATCACAGAATGTGTTGGAAAATCCCAGCTGCTACCAATCCAAGCTAAACAACCAGCTCTCCACTGGCTTGGCAAACCTACGACTACCGCCAGGAGCAGACAAGCCGCTTATCCAAGTACTCCAGTATGGGTGCCAGGAGCTTCGGATCATTCCTCAGCAGAGTACCGAAATTTAGACAAGTCATACACAGAAGCAATGGAACAATGAGTTTGGCTGTGAGCCTGCATCTGTCACAAGCTCCCATACACTGCAGCTTCTCGTAGCAAGTGCAAGATGCTGAAAGCTTGCATGGATGCCAGCGAAACGAGATCAAAACAGCTCTGTCGCCCAGCACAGTGCTTCGTTGAGACCGGGGCGAGAGGCGCAATCGAACGGTGCCGCCGACTTTGATCTGCAGGCAAGCTGACAAGTACCGTACGTGTCAGTTCAAACCTCAGAGCGTCGGCACTGCCCGTTGTTTCCTTACCCTCTGGCCTCGCGAAGGATCCTGTGTATGTCGTACTTTTGCTGTGCGACCAACCTTGGCGTTGTGATGCCTGTCTATGGGTCCCTCCTTGCTGCGGGATTCATACAGAAGCAGAGTGCGCATCCTGCGAGCTCCAACTGCCGGCATGCTAGCCCGTCATAGCCCGGTAGGCCCACCACGTGTAGGCTTCGTGTCTTCCAACCTTGCAGTCTTTCGGTACACACCCACCGCCATTCAAGCCGCAGTTGGAAACAAGGCTGTGGCAGTGTTCGGGAATTCCTCAGCTCCGAGATGGCCGCTTGATGCTGGGCTCCAGACAGTCCGCCCGCACTCATCTTGGGTTTCGATGCAGTCCACACCTGTTCTGTTGTTCTGAAGGACGTTGAGACTTTTTCGGGGCAGTGAGGAAATGATGTGAGGTGTAGCTGCGTAGCTCTCAGAAGGATGCGTCTGGCAACATCTCATGCAACGTGTAAGACGCAGTCAAGCTGAGGCAGATTCAGGCTGGCTCGTCGGGCTCCAACCGGCACTCTAAGACAACCTTGGGAACAGTCGCAGCCCAGAGGTCACCGTAGTCGCCGTAGTGGGTGTGACGAGTGGATGATCGATTGTCGGATCAGTGCTTTGCGCGCAGCGCAAGCTTTTAAGGGACGGGGTGGGCTGCAAGCAGGAGTCTCTTCCACCGAAAACCTCGCTTTGCGATAAGACGAGGGCGGTGCTCTCACGATCGAGAACCAGTCAGGGCAGCGCTGGAGCGCCGAGTCCACAGCATTGCCTCAGTCGTGGCGCCATGCAAATGCTCTTGTTGTGCAGGAACCATCACACCGAATCCTGCCCTCAAGTCCCTCGGTTGGTTGTTCGGCACAAGAAGTCGACTGACAAGCAATCCAACATCAGCGTTCGTCACATGACTCGAGCTAGCTGTCTGGAAGTCTGAGCCATGCGCTAGGAATCTTCAATGATCTTATCAATGCCGGATCCTCTGCAGCGCAGCTTGATATGCCAAGCTTTGACACTTTCACTCTGCCTGCTCTGGCTGCGAATTCGTTGCAGTTCGCTGCTGTGCTCGCTGAACCGGAGATTGGGAATTCAGCTTCATTAGCATCTCCGCTACAACTTGACCGATGGCCGATAGCTGAGCTGCTGGGCCGGAGTCGAATTTGCTCCGGCTGAGGGGTCTCTCTTTAATCTCTTTCTGACGCAAAGTCATCTAGAGCTCTTCACGTTGAACCCGAAGCCAGCCACCACAATAAAATCAAAGCAACCGCTCCCAATCGCAGACGTGACAGCGCGCCATTGAGTCATGCCGTCGAAATCTCGATTGCATGCGACACTGCTTGGACACTCCATGGTCACGCGTCCTCTTGTGAGTTGGCTGCAGCTCGGTTGCAGGCTATTTCTGCATCCTGGCGGGGCAGCAACTCGTGGAACTGCAGCAAGTACGAGGGCATGCGTCAGAAGCATACAACTAACAATCGCACCGAAACGGCTGGAGTGGGTTGAAAGGTGCAAGCTGATAGCTGGCCGTGAATTTCAGCTATATTCAGTGGAAACATATGGTAATATCTGCGACCACCACGACGAGGACATCTGAGCCTGGCTGCGGAGGTGCATGGGTGCTCGCCTAAGACACACAGGGCCTTTTCTAAGTCTCACGATGCTGCACTTTGCAGGTTACATTTCTGAGCAGCGGACTCGAATACCCACATCTCCCGAACCCCAAACCGCAGTACCTGTCAGTGCTGCACCTGTGTGAGTGCTACATGCCAGGCTAGCATAACAATGACAAGCCATTTCCGTCACGTCCTGGCGCAGTGATAGTAGACGCGAGAGCAGGGACCATCAACTTAGGTTTAGACGGCTTTGCCTAGTGAATATTATTGGCAGTCGTCGCTGGACGACATGGCCGCGCTTGACATAGAACTCATGAACGCAGCTTGCCAGCGACACTGGGAAGCGTAGGGCCTCTTGGCAAACGCCTCTAACTCCTCCCCACTTTCGTTGCGAAATCCTCATGCCACAACTAGCAGAATTTGGGCACTAAGCTGAAAAAGGATCTCACCAGGAAACTGCAGCAGCCAGCAGGGGCACGCTGCCGGTTTCGAGAGCCGTGCCTCGCGCAATCAAACGCAAACGCAGTTCGCTGCATATCGTCGCACTCAGCGAAAACACTGCAGAAAAGCAGTGATGTGGCTCGGCCTAAAATCGGGTCCACCATCTCGCCGTCCACGGTAGTGCCACCCCCGGAGTGCCCGCCACCGGGCCCTGCACCCGGGCCACCCTCGATGCCCTGAACAAAGAAAAACGAAGCTCAAGCTCAATGAGCAGTGTCACTTTGAACGACACGGCCTTCTCATCATATATCCGAGCGAGCCAGGTGTTGGGATCTGGCCTTCAGGAGTTGCCGCAAGACCACCCAGGTGTAGGCCTACTTTGTCACCGAGGCCACTGCCCTCTCCAGCACTTGATGATCGCATGCAGCCGAGACACCTGCAAAAGCACAGCCAGCGTCCACCTTGCTAGCCTGCGGATAGCCTGCTAAACACCTGCTGAAGGGTCAAGCACACTTCCTTTACAAACCCAAAGCATTGCGATGCGAACACCATCATCAACCTGGGATCGTTATGTGGCTCGCTACACTACCACTTCCACATATTAAGCGAGTCCTGATGAGCAGTTATCATGTACCAAAGTTGTTTCCGACAACTGACACTCGACAAAACAAGATTGCGTCTCGTTGCGGCACTGAAACATTCGGTTCTGGATTGTGTTTTTTTTCGCGCCGTTCTCGAAACACCATACGCCGATGTAGGTGCTGCACATCGCAGTTCCCCGGCGAGTCGAGCACGAGGTCGATCTGACAGGAAGGCGTGGCAGACCATGCCACGAAGTACATGTCATACGTCATCAGCATTCAGAACTTAGCCAGGCTCTGTGTCTTGAAAGCCAGAGTTCACAAATGCAAATAGCAACGCCGCACTATGTCAAGTGCTCCAGCGGCCTTTTCTTCGAGCAATCGTCTGCTTCGGCCTTGACAATGGTGACAGAGTTCTCATGCCCCCCAGCAAAGTCGATCCAACACCGGCTTTCAGGGGCAGGCCCACCCTGGTGTAGGCGACAAGTCTGTGCCTTCGCTGAGTGCCAGCGCTTCAAGATCTTGTGCACGTGTCGGTTGCAGTGGCAGCATGTGGCAGCAACTCTCCGACAGTATCTGTGCAGCTTTGTGGACAAACCTTAAACAATACATTAACAAGGCTGCCGATCTTTTTTGCATTTCAGTTTTTGGCCCGCCGAGAAATTCCAGGGTTTTGCCGGATTCCCTTTCGCTGCTCCAATAAGCAAAACAAAGCTATTCGCCGCTGCAGTTCTGGATTTCCAATGGAAGAGCCACCTTGAGGAGTCACAACAGACAGGCTTTCACTTTCTGCGCTTTTCGCTTTCTGCGAATGCAACCAATGCAAGATACTTTTTAGATCAGCCCTCGGGCAAATCATGAGAAGTTGAGTTGGAGCTGGTCCTCAGCCTTGGCGTGTTGGCCGGGGCTGACATCAAGGTTGTGATTGCACTGTGCATCCGTCTTGAGCAAGTGTTGCTTGAGAGAAGTGTGAGCACTCTGCTCGTTGCTCAGCAGTTGCCAAAAGCCCAATCCTAACCCATTTTTGGGGGGGCCCCCATCCATTCAACATTGTTCCCTGGGGAAGCAACAGGAGCGAGAAATGTACTTCATAGGGGTTATGGCTGTTGCCCAACCCTTTGGGCAGCGAGTTCTTCAAGGCTGCGGCGAGCGATGCGTGTCCATGCCTCAGTACAAAGCTGGTCACGACCGGAGTTCGAACACATCTTTGCAGGTCATCATAGCTGAGATCCGATGGAATTTTCACAAGCAAAGCCAAGGTCCCCAATTTCTTCTTTAATTAAGTTTGTGAAAGGGGTCAGAAAACGGCTTTCAAGTTTCCGAGCCCCAGAGCACCAGACTGCGAAGCTGGAAGGGTGCCGGCTCGCGATCCTCAAGGGGATTCCGACACACACAGACGCTCACACTGCCCTGGCAGCGTTCTCACCAACTCCACCACTCTTGACTTATGCATGGGTGAAGGATGGTTTACTCCGGCAGCGAGATTGGATGGGATCGATATCTTGTAAGCTTGCATGGCAGGTTCCGACTTTCATAAGTCTATGGTCTATGGATTGGCTGAGCACTGAATGACTTGATGGTGTTCCGAGCGTTGCTGCTGTCCACAAGTTCGTGATTGCAAATCAGCCTTGTACTGCACTAGCTTTCGCAAAAACGGAAAGCGGGAACTGGCATCACAACTAGTGAACCCAGTCGTTGCGCCGAGTCACCCGCGGACCTGGCCAGTAGCACAAAACTTCCGGAAAAGCTGACATGGAGCAGCGTACCCTTACCACGTTGAGAGCGTGAAGGAGCCGCTCTGAAAGCTTTGGCATGCTTGGGTTCGGCTGTGGTCCAGGGCAGTACAACTGAGTCTTGAAGCGAAATGCACAGAGGTTTTGGTGCACTTCCTGCCTACGTGGCTGGCCGGATCATTCACTTCCTCGTCTTCTTCAGGCAGCTCGATGTCGACCTTGACATGCCTGTGATGTTTGCCGCAACTTGCTTCCAGCTAGTCTTGCCGTGGATATGCGCCGAGCACCGCACAAAGTACCTTCACCGATGCTTAGCTCACCTCAGACAAACAGCCGTGCTGAGGATCTGGTGTTGATGTAAATCTTACTTCAAGGACGTGCCCATGCATGTACGAATGCACGCAAATCGTTTTGGAGCTCATCGAATGTGTGTGAATGAATGTGTGCAGCGTGCATATATATATATATATATCAGTTACTACGATCGCAGACGCTCGGTGCCCTCACTGAACAGACGATCGGCGATCGCACCTTTTTCATGCGACCGCAACGTGGGAGTCGGCCACAAGTCGGATCATCAAAATTCCACTTGATCTTCACAAGTCCGATCGGACCCCCGATCACCGAGGGGTGCGCCATGGCATTCACCACAGACCGCAACATCATCCGATCGGACACATCAGACAAGCGATATTCCCCGCGAACAAAATCAAAAGTCTTCGATCAGATCCTCTGGCTCGGGCGACGGCTCTTCGATCGGGTCGTCATCGACAGGAGCCGCGCCGAGCAGATCGATCATATGCCGCTCGGCCACCCGAAAGGCCTCAGAAGGGGTAGCTTTCAGCTTTGTACGCCGCGATCTGGGCGGGGCTGGGCGGCGCTTTGGTTTGCGGAGTGGAACTTCTCGTAGGCACCATGATCTCGGTACCGGGAGGGAGCTCCGCATTGGGCGGCAGTAGATCGAGCCGCCGAGGTGACTGCCCTGGAACCACGTAGTAAGCAGGACCTGCGATCTGCACATCAGGCGGCACTTCATTGAGCGACCTGGGAGGCTGTCCTGGGACCACGTATTGAGCAGGCTCGGCGAACATCGGTCTTCGCTCAGCTGGAGCCGCACGAGCTTGACGAGGCGGGCCAGCTTTGGGATCCACATAAAAGATCGGCTGATCATAACCTCTATTCGGGGCAGCCTTAGCCGGCGGAGCCTTTGGGACCGGCGATCTGATCCCAGTTTAGGGGAGGATCCGCCCCGTGATCGTATCCGGCCGGCTGGTGACGATCGCGATCACGATGAGCCGGCGGAGTCACCCAGGGGATCCCTCTGCAGAAATGGCACATATCAAAGCGACGATCGCAAGCCGTGCACAAAGGAGTGAGTTGATTGGGAGCCCACTCTTCGCGGGGGACCCGAACGGCTGCGTAGCATTCGTCGCCGCCGTCCCCGTCGCAGAAGCAGCCGGTGAACAGGCCGCAATCTACGCAGGGACGGCAGAGCTGCTCTGTTGTGCCGAAAGCGAGCGCCTGAAGGCCAACGTCACCGCGAGGATCCCGCATACCGAAAAGAACAGATAGGGCGGAGAGGGTGGGATTTTTCGGTATGGCCCGATCGGCTATCGCCAAAATGGCCACGGAAAAGAAAGATCACGTCTGTTCCAACGATCGCGAAACTGATCTCCTAATTCCTACCCACCAGACCGATAATTAGGAGACCAGTTACTACGATCGCAGACGCTCGGTGCCCTCACTGAACAGACGATCGGCGATCGCACCTTTTTCATGCGACCGCAACGTGGGAGTCGGCCACAAGTCGGATCATCAAAATTTCACTTGATCTTCACAAGTCCGATCGGACCCCCGATCACCGAGGGGTGCGCCATGGCATTCACCACAGACCGCAACATCATCCGATCGGACACATCAGACAAGCGATATTCCCAGGCCCTCAAACTCCCTTCGGAAAGTCCGAGAGGACAGTGATCCAACCACACATCAGACCTGTAGCGACATCTCCACGAGAGGGGTTATCCGCAGGGTTCGAATCGGTCGGTACCCGATCGATATAAACTGAGCACCTAAGCTCCAGAACAAGCTCCCAGAAAATTCCTACGAGCTCGCAGACGTCCTCTTTTGCAGAGTAGCCTTTGGTCAAAGCTGCCTCCACAGGCTCAGAATCGATAAAGAGGAGGACCAGCTTTCCACGGATCTCTTCCTTGAAAGTCTGAATCGCAGCGACCGCGGCTAAAAGTTCGATCATGCAAATCTGGGTCTTCCGGGGGAACCATCTCGACATGATCTGTCGTGACACCCCTGAGGCGAATTGCCTAGGCTGATCGTCCCTAGTGAACATCACCCCTCCAATCATCTCAGAAGAGGGATCCTTGGGGTTCGAGCTCGGCACCGATCCATCCGTGAAGATCACCACGTCGGACTTCCGCGGCCCCGAACTGGGGATAGGCCTCGGAGGCCCATGCATCACGAGCGTCCGCCGCTTGTAGAGGGAGTAGAGGAGAGCAGGCGACAGGCTCGTGCTGACCGTCTTCCGGGAATACTGCCGCTCCGACAGAGATCTCAGAAAGGCTCGGCCGATCTTTCCCCAGAGCTGAGAGGCGCCGAACATTAGCTACCCTCTGAGCTTCCCGGCTTGGACAGGAGAGAGCTCTTCGTGTTCCAGGATCGCCGAGATCTCTTCGAAGAGCTCCTGCTTCCTGGACTTCTTGATCTTGAGCAAGTACTGATCGAGGTCGTAGGTCACGCCCAAGATCGTGGGATCAGAGCAAAGCTGGAGCTTCTGCTGATCAAATCGCGCCCCGAGCCACCAATGGACCTTTTCGGCAAGCGCGAACGCACTATCTGCCGTGGCCTCCGGCTCGAAGCCGTACTTGTCGTCGTAGAAGTTGAAGCCAGCCACGATGAACACGCGCCTTAGAATGTCGGTAATCGCAGCCGAGCGGCGGTTGTAATTATATACGGCCGAGACCAAGCCGAAGGAGTGCCCGACCATCACAAAGAAAGCCACCTTTCCCGTGGCCGGATCCTTCAAAGCGACCACACTCCACTTGCGATGGGCCGGGGAGATCGGTACCTGCCGATAGGCCCGCCGCTCGTCCAGAACCCAACCACGTAGCGGGGACTTCGGTAGCCGCGAACGCAGCCACTTGATCACCGCCACGTTCGCGTCCGTCGAGGGGAGTTCGAGTTTCTCGGTGACGATCGTCGCCATGTTGATCCCATTAGAGTCATTAGAGGTAGCACTATCGACTCCCCTGACTTTGTTCTTTTGACCACTTCAAAGCGCTGAGTAGGGATCCAGTGATCATCGCCCACCAACTCCGAGACTTCGGCTTCGTCGAAGAAGGGACCGATCGCCGACCCTTCTCGAACATCTTCCATGGTCCCTTCCCAGACCTTAGGAGAGTGCTCGGTAACCGGAGATCTCCGGATCGCACTTAACACCTTCGATCGAAATTCCCAGGCCCTCGAGCGAAGGGCATCAACCGAGAGGTGTTCCGCATGCGGTTTGCGGTCAGGTTTCCATCTGTGCGAAGAGGCGATGTCGCCGACGATCGGCATGCCAGCCATGATCTGATCCACCAGGTCGACGTCGCTGCATTTGGCCGCATCCATGAGCTCTCGCCAGAGGGCGACGTGGAAGAACTGACCCATCTCCAGTGGACGATCGTCGGGGGCGCCGCGAAGAAGACGGCGCAAATGCTCATCTGGTATCTGCTTGAGCAAGGTATCAGAGGACGGGAGCAAATCATGAGCTCGCTGTTCCCAATGTTGCAGGAGAGAAGCCCGACGATCGCGAACTTGAGCAGGATCGCGGACAATCTGCTCAAGGACCGCCAAAAGATCTTGGTCGATATCCGCATCCTGCGTGAACGGGTGTGTGGCGTCCAAAGCGAAAGCGATCGCTTTGCCCGGGTGCATTTCAGTGCCGATCAGCGGAGCCACCACAGACTTCTTCATCTGGTAGCCCGCGGCGACTGCCTTCTTACCAGCCGATCGTTGGCGATGCTCCTTGGCTTTGACCGGGGCACCGTGGGGCCGTTTTCGATTGGAGTCCGGGGTCTCGAGCGCAAACGTGAGAGTCTGCCAGGACTGATGAGCGTGATCGCCTGTGTGCACCGGAGCCGGCTTGAAGCCGAGCTGCAAGAGCTGCTCGAACTCGTCGGACGGAATCCGATCGACCCCCTGCACAGAGTACACCGCGAGGACCACCCGAGTTCCTTTCCAGGGCAAGGTTGCATGCAGAGCTTCTTTGGCATTGAAGAGGATCTTGTTGTCGACGAAGTCGGTGTTGAAGCCAGGGATCGAGCGTCCCTCGATCTCTCTGACGTCTGGCCCGAGCGGGTCCTCGATCCAGAGCCCGCCTCCTTCGAACGATCCGAGCTTGAAGACGATGTTCGGGATCGGTTCGTTGCCCGAGTCACGGTGAGGTTCCGCCTCTTGATCGTAGAGGACAGCGAACGACGTGAAGAGCGCCTCAGGAGCCTGCTGGGCGATGTACTTGGTGATCGCCTTGATCGCCCACGGCCAGGAATGGCAAGACGATCGAAGTCTCGTGATGCCTCCATGTCGATAGGCTCCTGCGAAGAAAGCGCCACCCCGTTCGTCGGCAGCCTTGTGCTGACCCTGAACAGGGAGCTCCATCGTCATCTCGAGGATTTCCTCGCGTAGCAGGGGAGCCTTCTTTCGCAGGAGAGCCTGCGTGCGGGACTTCAGATCACAGCCCCCTCGCGCGCCAGAGAGAGTGAGGTGAGGATCACATTCAGCTTCGGCGGGGGCCGATCAGTGGTTACCGATCATGGCATGCGGCTCCCCACAGACCATGCACAGGTGCTTGAAGCGACAGTTGTCCCCGGAGACGCACCCGAGCGAGGAGTTGAAGTAGTGGGCACCGGCGAGCGCCCTGGACTTTCTTGGCCGCATCGGCGATGAGCTTCCACTCCTTCTCCGGGATCCGGTTGTCGCGCTTGAGCTTCTTGTTGGGATCCTCCTTGACGATCTTCTTAGGCGGATCGTCCTTGGAAGGAGTCTGCAGCCGCTTCTTCTTCTTCTTCCCTCTTGAACGGGTTGTGGGGAGGAGGAGGAACCTCATCCTCTTTGACCTGATCAGGGTTGTTAGCGAGCTGCAAGCGATTCTGCTCCATCTTCGAGAGCGTGGCTGAAGTACGAGCGTCATTCCACAAGTATTTGTGGTTGGTGAGCACCTCGACCAGGGCCTGCGAGAACGAGATGTACGTCGCCCTGTGTTCGGACAGCAGGCGGAAGATCTTCTTTCTAATAGCTCGATCCGCTGCCATGAGGAAGGGCAAAC